AGGGGGGCGGTACCTGCTCATCCTTCACGCCCTACCGAGGTCACGAGTTACCCCCAACAAGCGGCTCTCTGGCATGGCCATGGCTCCAGAGGCAAAAGGACTTAATCCAGAGCCCGGAAGCTTGCGGCAGAAAAGTGAATGGACCATGCATTAAACTAGGGTGCCATGCCTCCCCAGGAGGGAAAGGGTGTTGCTCCCTTCCACCTTCCCCCCAACCCCCGGCAGCAAGGTGGCCACTACCTCAGAGCTTATTGGAAAGCCAGGTATGAGCCGGCGGTGAAGGGGCAACTGCAGTCTCATGGGAAGGGGGATGGTACTGGCTAGTCCTTCACGCTCTATCGAGGTCATGAGTTGCCCCCCACAAGCGGCTCTCTGGCATGGCCATGGCTCCAGAGGGAAAAGGACTTAGTCTAGAGCCCAGCAGCTTGCAGAAGAAAAGTTAATGGACCATACATTAAACTACGGCGCCATGCCTCCCCAGGAGGGAAAGAGTGTTGCTCCCTCTGCCTTTTTCCCCCCTGGCAACAAGGTGGCCGCCACCTCAGAGCTTATAGAAAAGTCAGGTGCGAGCCAACGGTGATGGGGCAACTGCAGTCTCATGGGAAGGGGGCCGGTACCGGCACATCCTTCACGCCCTACTGAGGTCACGAGTTACCCCCCAGGAGCGGCTCTTCGGCACGGCCATAACACCGGACACACAGAAACCAATCTTGTAATTATCTGGCTCTTTGCAGAAATCCAAAATCGTGGCCGCGTGACATTATATGATTCTCATAACCAGCTGTAGGAAACAAAATATTTCACAATGCCTTTTCAGCAATTCTGATTGTTTGGGGGGAAATTCTAAACAATAATGGTGCATCTTTTGTCGAAATAATGAATGTAATCAATGTAGAGAAGAGTTAAGTAGAAATCATCTGCCTCACAGGCATTTGGAGGGGTGGGAGGGGGGTATACTGGGGTTCTTGGTGGTGAAAAATGAGTACTGGTGAAGGGAAAGGTGTTTGATCATTGTATGACCGAGACTTAAACCTGAAAGCTTAGTAATTTTCCCACAGTGATTCAATAAATAAATATAAAAAGAAATAAATAAAATAAATTAAGGTGGAATTCATGCCCAATTCAATCAGCTAATCAGTGGCTGAATAAATAGCAGTACTCCTACAAAAAAAAAAAAGATCGCGTGGCCTCCCACCTACGAGATAGTCAAACTTCTTCGTCAAGCCCCTGTAGGATCGGTGAGGCTCTTCATGTTCCTAGAACGAGCAGATGCCATTGGGCAACACTAGCATGCAACAGGGACAAATGAAATAGTAGTGGTGCCCACTCGAGCAAATAGAGGAGTAACGGGATGTTGAGTGATCAAATTATCTAGCCAAATTAATTTACAATAATATTTTTAATGAGTCAATTCTTAACAATTATTTTGTAAGACACTGTGCTGCACTTTAAAAACAGCATTTTTAGGACTAAGCGTTAGTACAGACTGTAGGGCATTTGCCTTGCATCATCAGCCGATTATCTGCATCCCATATGGTTCCCTTGAGCAAGGCACCAGGTGTATTCCTGAGTTCAGAGTCAGGAGTAACCTCTGAGCATCACCTGGTGTGCTCCTCGCCCCGCCAAAAAAGCATTTTAGCATAACTTTATTTTTTGGGCCACGGTGGGCGATGCACAGGGATTACTCCTGGTATTTTGGTTAGGAATTACTCCTGGTGGTGCTCAGTGGATCACATGGGATGCAGGACTTGGGTCAGTAGTGTGCAAGGCAAATGCCCTGCCTGCTGTGTTCTTGCTCCAGTCCCATAAGTTAAAAAAAATTAAATACAACACAAAATGCTTTACTAAAAGTCTTATTTTATTTTATGTTTTGCTTTTCTTGGGTCACACCCGGCCATGCACAAGGGTTACTACAGGCTTCACACTCAGGAATTACTCCTCGTAGTGTTTGGGGAACCATATGGGATGCTGGGAATCGAACCTGGGTCAGCCACGTGCAAGGCAAATGCCCTTCCCACTGTACTATCACTCCAGCCCAAATATATATATCACTTGATCACTTGATCTCCTGTTATTCATCGAATTACTCGAGCGGGTGCCAGTAACATCTCCATTCATCCCAGTTGCATGCTAGCATAGCCCAATGGCATCTGTTTGTTCTAGGAATATGCAGAGCCTCAAACCAATCATTCAGGGTCTTGACAAAGAAGTCTGACCATCTTGCAGGTGGGCGTCCACGCGATCTTTTGATGTCCCGTGGAATCCAGTCAGTAATGGCTCTAGTCCAGCGGTTGTCTGTAAACCTCATTATGTGTCCAGCCCATCTGATTTTTGATGTCTTGGCAAATGAGACAGCGTCCCTGATTCTTGAGCGTTGTTGGAGATCAGAACTCCGGATTCTATCTCTCATTTGAGTGAATCGTGATATTCCAAGCATAGCTCTTTCGATTCCTCTTTGAGAGACCCGAGTAGCGTTCTCATCCTGTTTTCGTAGGGCCCAGGTCTCTGAGGCATATGTTAATGCAGGAAGAACAGTGGAATTGAAGAGATGTGCTCGTAGTTGGAGGTTCTTTGTCCTCTTAGTTATTTCTTCAACGCTCTTGAAGGCATTCCAAACCGCTCTCTTCCTCCTGTGCAACTCAGGTGCCAGGTTATTCATCATGTTGATTTCTCGACCTAAGTATATATAACTGTTGCATTCCGAGATGGTGGTTCTGTTGAGAGCGAATGGAGCGTCAGGAATGAGGCTGTTTCTCATAAACATTGTCTTCGTAAGATTCAGCTGTAGTCCGACCTTTCCACACTCACAGTCGAAGTCGGTCAGCATTTGTGCCGCTTGGCTGATGTTTGGTGTTATTAGAACGATGTCATCAGCAAAGCGAAGGTGGTGTAGTTGCCGACCATCTATCTTCACTCCCATGCTTTCCCATTCCAGTCGTAGCATGATGTTCTCGAGGGTGGCACTGAAGAGTTTTGGTGAAATGGTATCACCCTGCCGAACCCCTCTCTTGACATGAATGATTATTTCTTTGTAGAATGGTGAGATCCTGGTAGCGAATCCATAATAGAGCTCACGAAGGATCCTGATGTATTGAGTTTGTACGCCCTGATTGGCTAGGGCTTCGATGACAATATATATATATCAATATATATATATATATATTGATTTTTTAGTTCACACCGAGCGGGGTTACTCCTGCCTCTGCACTCAGGAATTACTCCTGGCGGTGCTTGGGGGACCATATGGGATGCTGGGAACTGAACCCAGGTCAGCTGCATTCAAGGCAAACGCCCTACCTTCTATGTTATCACTCTGCCCCCCCAATAAAATTTTAATGAAGAGTATAGTATCTGAATTTATCAGAAACACAGCTAATTGATGTCCTATAAAACCTTAGGATCTTCCTCTATTCGCCACCCCATTTTTATTGAGGCACCGTGATATACAGTACTGCTAATGATAGTTTCATGCATACATTCTAGTAGCACATCTACTACCAGAGTATTTGTTTCCAATGTCTTGCAATGTCCCAAGGACCCCACCACTCAGGTAAGCTCAATTTTCCCTTGAACATGCCGGAGGTAGCTCATACAATCAACTTATTTTATAAAGCTTCTTTGTCTTTTCACATTAAAACCGATAGTTTAAAACTATATTTTTATTAAAAAGTGTGGTCAGCAATACTTGCATTCTGATGCAAAAAGTATGGTTTAGAGTAAGAAAAATTCTCAAGGGAATGGCAGCTGCCTAATTGCCGGTCTATTTCCTCAGAAGAGTGAATTTTTGAGGAGTTTAAGTTTCTTCTATTTCTGTATCTTTGGGGCTTGAGCTGGCTTTTGTTGGCACTATTTGTGTGCACGTGTTGAATGCCAAATTGTATCCCGGATTTCAGTTATAAATGCACAGTCTCTCGTTACCCAGAAGTTCAGATCCGATTAGAGGGCTAAGGAAAGAAGTCTTTTGTAACCCGTATCGGGTACTAATAACCCCATACATTCCCCCAGACTTACTAGGCAAGCTACAAGGGGATTCAGCGTTCGCAGGTATCAATTTCTCGTTCTCAGTACACCCAGGAAACTCACCTTCCCAATGTGACCAAACCACGACCTATTTCCCAGAGTGGGAGATACCCTCTGCTCCAAACAGAACCATGGGCTGGGGGTATGGTGAGGTAGCCGACTTCGTGCAACTGGGGGGGGGGGGGGGGGGGCTGGGGCTCTCTAGAGAAAAGATCATAGATGGGGCTGGGGGAGTGAGGAGAAAGGGGTGATTCTCTTTTGATTTCCTGGAAAAGGGACGCTAGGTCAAATAAGTGTTGGAATCTGCAAAGCGTTCAAAGAAGCGAGGACAAAGGTGAGAACGGATTACTCCAGGTTGATTTACAGTAGCCCTGCGGGTAGTTTGACCCATTGGTGGAAAGCAGCATCACCAGGGCGAGGTGTTAGTACAACGGGGAGGGCGTTTTGCCTCGCTCACGGCCGACCCGGCTCGATCCCAGCACCCCGTAGGGTCACCCAAACCCGCCAGGAGTGATCTGTGACCTCGGAGGCAGGACTAAGGCCTGAGCACCGCCGCGCCACGACCCCACCCGTAAAGTGCAGCGCCCCCACCCCCCGACCCAAATGCCATAGCTGCCGCAGCGGCCCAGGCGGTCACACGGAACCCCAATTCTTGGAGTCCCTATTTCTTCCGAAATACAAAAGAATAAAAGAGGACGTGGGTGTTAAGTGGCCCAGTGGCGTTTCCTGCCAACAGCCGGTCCCCCGCGGACACGTCTTTGCTGTTGTGAATGTTGGGGCTCCCTGGGCCGGGCAAGGAGGGGCTCGGGAGGGCCTGCGGGTCGGGCCAAGCCCCGGGAGCGTAGAGACTGGCGCTGAGGGGCGCGGCGGGCGCGGCCCGGGGAGGAGCGAGCGGCGGCGGCGGCCGAAGCGCTTCCTGTGGCCGGTTTCCGGCTCCGGGTCTCGGGAGGACCCGCCCCGCCGCGACTTTCAGACTCGGACCATGGCCTCGTGCTGGTGGCGCTGGCGGCCCCGCGGCTCCTGGGGGCCGGCGGCTCGGAGCCCCGGTCCGGGCGGCTGCGGCCGAGCGGGGCCAGCGGGGCCGCGCGCCGCAGCTTCCGGGCGCGCTCAGGTGAGCGGGGGCGCGCGCGGCGGGGCGCAGAGGTCACGGCGCCAATGACAGCCGCGCGGGGAATGAATGGGAGTCGCGCCGCCGCCGACACGCGTGCCGGGACGCTCCGGGGCGCAGCCCGGGCCCGGGGAGACGTCGGGGAGGGACGTGCGGGGGAAGGTGCAGAACGTCTCCAGGAACATGGACCGGGTCCAGCCTGGAGGGCTTGTCTGCCGCGAGCTCCTTGCCAGTTACACGTAGGGTTCGGAGGGATAGTGCTGGAGCTTTCGAGCAAAAAAGTGGCCAGCGCTCGGACATAAGGATCTCGGTGGCCTTGCAGGAGTGGGCCAAGGCCTTGTGGAGAGTCCGGCGCCGGTGCTGAGGGTGGATCTTCGTCCTCCCTGGCTGGTTTCCGGGAAGATCATACCTGGGCGCAGTGGAAGGGCACTGGGAGTTCGGGCTCTGAGGTTGTCGCAAGTTGCTGATACCTTGCGCATTCATTTGACCTTTGATTCCTTGAAGGAAAGTCAGAATCTCAGCGCAGGTCCTGAATCTTCCCAGTTGCCTTAGGACCCAGATTCATTCCTCCCATCCCCCATCCCCCAAATGGACGGCTCTCTGGTCCGTTTGGCCATTATAAACTGCTTGTTTTTATAATGAGCCCTTCTACACTTCTAAGTAATCAGTCCTCCAAGTGCTGTGGCCAGATTTTGAACAGTAGCTAAAGACTTTGGCCCCACCATCGTTCTTTAAGACTTCACCAGTCTCAGGACTCGTCACCTGTTCGATTTGGCCTTTTTGTTTTTGTTTGTTTTGGGGGGCATACCTGGCTGTGCTCACGGCTTCTTCCCTGGGGTCACTTCTGGTGGGGCTAAGGTAAGGGGTGATCCCATATGGCGTGCTAGGCAACCTGAGTGAGCAGTGTGCAGGGCAGACTCTCAACCCACGGTATTATAGCTCCTGCTGGAATTTGGACTTTGAAAATTGCTACTCCAGTCACCAGAGTATCCTCTTGACTAGTAGTATTACAAATGTTACATTTATAATGGTCTACTTTGTATCCAAGTGGATGTATATTATGGTTAAACACAGTATGAGTCTTTCGGCATATATTGATGGGATTGTATCCTGATCAGTCTGTCAAGAGAAAATAGGTGCTGTAGTGATAGTACAGTGGGTAGGGCGTTTGCCTTGCACGCAGCCAACCCAGGTTCAATTCCCACCATCCCATATGGTCTCCCCAGCACCGCCAGGAGTAATTCCTGAGTGCAAAGCCAGGAGGAACCTCTGTGCATCACCAGGTGTGATCCAAAAAGAAAAAAGAGAAAATATCCTGAGCTAAAATGCATTTAATGTACTTAACCTATCACAAATCATAGCTCAGTCTTGCCAGCCTAAATGAAGTCAGAGCACCATTAGTCTACAGTTGGGCATAATCCTCTACCATAAACCTTTATTAGAATAAAGGATTGAATAGCTTGTGTAATTTGGCTGAAACTATTCAGAGACTGAACAATACTGTATTTTAAAATGCAAAGGAAATGCAATAGGAATACTGTATTTCTATTACTTCACACCACAGTAACGTCCAGAAACTTTCATTAAGTCCTGCTACATGTATGTCTACCCTCTGGTTATTTGGAGAGAGAAAGGCAGCTGGGCTAGTAGACAGACTAGACAGGAAAAAGAACCAGCTGAGAGAGGACTTTGTGGGATGGATCCATTTCAGGACTGCATTGGCAATAGTTCTAGTACCTCAGGTTTATAATTAACTAGCAATAGTCCCTGAGCATCACCAGGTGTGGACCAACACCCTCTCAAATAAATACATTTTTAAAAATAATTTAAGTCAATCATGTAAATAACACTAATCTTTATTATTCTCTGAACAATATCAGTTTAATGAAAATAAGTTGTTTTAAAGTGACTTTCAGGGACCAGATGGATAGTACACTTGGTAAGGTAAGACTTGGTTGTACATGGCTGACCTGCATTCAATCTCTAGCATCCCATATTGCCCCCTGAGCCCAGCAGGAATAATCCTTGAGTACAGAGCCAGGATTAAGCCCCGAGTACTGCCAGATGCGGCCCCCCAAACCAAAAAATAAATAAGTAAATAAATAAAATGACTTTCATTTGTGAAAAATATGTAGGTATGTGGAAATTGACTTTCTGTGGAGGAAGAGAGTGATTGTAGATGTTTTATTTTCTACTTTTTTCCATAATTATCTTTTCGGTTATGACATTTGTAGTCTATATAAATGGATGAACGGATAAACATTTATCCTTGTTATAAATATGAGAGTTTTACTTACCTAGTATTATAAACAAGATTTTCCTGAGTCATCTTACAAATTTCTTGGTTCTTTTATTTTTCAGATGTCCTATATTAATCACATGAAGAGCTTAACATCTGCCTTTCCAAATACCTATAGTCTATCCCGGTAAGTTAAATGATACTCAGATACTAATGCAATTAACTATAGTACCAGAATATTTGTATTTCATTTCAGGGCTGTTTTTTTTTTTCTTTTTCCTGTTTGATTTTTGTTTTGTTTTTGCTTTTGGGCCACACTTGGCAATTTTCAGAGGTTACTTCTTGGTCTGCACTCAGAATCACTCCTGGTGGTGTTCAGGGAACCATATGGGTTGAGACCGGTTGATAGCATGCAGGGTAAGCACCTTACCTGCTGTACTATCTCTCCAGCCCCAGTGCCAGAATATATCTGTAATAGTTTGCTGAGGACTAGTCCAGCAGATTGAATGCCACAGTACCACAGTGTTCACTCATGTACTCTGTACCTTTTGAAAAATGAACTTATATGGAGCTTGAGTGGCAGTACAGAAGCAGGTAGGGCATTTGCCTCACATGCTACCTACTTCAGTTCATTCCCTGGTGCCCACTGTGGTCCCATGTGGTCCCCCAAGCCCTACCAGGAGTGATCCCTGAGCACAGAGCCAGGAGTCAACCCTGAGCAGGAAGCAAGGCCCAAAAACCAAAAAAAAGGAAAAAAGAAAGGTAAAAGAACCCATAGTAAAATTAAATCAATTCTGAACACAATACACCTGGTTTAGTCTTTCATCGATTCCGTTAGTTTTCTGTTTCCTGGATATAAAATTGATTGTTTTGGCCAGAGTAGAACTGGAGAGACAGTTTTCTCGAAGGACTTGCGTGCCCAAGATAGGTCCCCAGCAGCTCGGTTCAGCCCTAGTGGCCCCAGCCCTGAACTGTCCAGCTTGCATAAGGCAGGCAACTTGGCAGGAAATAGCCCCCCACCACCCATGAACACCATTTCAAAGTCCCCACTACTACAACCCCCCTCCAAAAAAGTGAAATGTGGATATGTCAGCAAGAATTCTCTTCTTTAATTAATTATAATGACCATTTCAAATTTGTCTTTAGTTCCAGCAGATTTTGGAATTTAAGCTTTCCATCTCTGGGCCAGAAAGATAATTCAGAGAGTAGGGCGCTTGCCTTTCATGCAGTCAAACCCGGATTTGACCCCCAGCACCCTGTTTGATCCTCCTGAACCCACCAGGACTATTCTTGAGTGCAGAGCCGGGAGCACAGCTGGGTACGACCCCAAAACAGAAACAAAAAAATGAAGACTTCTATCTCCTCCACCTCACCTCCATATCAGTGTATATGCACATGTGTATATAATTCTTACTGAAAAAATTTGTGGTTTTGCTTGATGTAATATTTTTCTGGCTTCTATCGTGTGCTTTTTTGGCTTGTCCTAGATTTCATCACACAACCTCAGCCACATGCTGTTGTAGAACACAGAGTGGTGAAAAGTACAGCGATCCCTTTAAACTGGCTTGGAGGGACTTGAAAGGCCTGTACGAGGACATTCGGAAGGTAAGACTCCTTCAGGGGCCAGGGCTTCCTCACCCTCCTTCCCGGTGATTCTCAGTAGGTCCAGCTATAGGTTTGGTGTGACGAGGGGAGGATGCAGCCAGACCCTGCAATGCTCGGGAGTGTCCAGGGCTGCATTTGGTGATGCTCTGCAGAGCATGTGGTGCCAAGCATCAACCATGTAAGGCTTTGAAGTACTATACTCACTCCAGCTCAAGGTAATACAGTGCTGATGACGCTGTGTAGTTAATACTGTGTCATGGCAAACTTGATTCGAGTTTGTCCAATTTCCAGTGTTGGTGATCTACGACTGAATTAGAACTGGACCCTCAAACATTGCTTTTTTTGATGTTCGTTTTTGTTTTGGGAACCATACCTGACAATGCTCAGGCTGTTGCAGAGTGAGAACATCTGAAAAGAGTGTCTCCAGGTCTTCCCCCCCACCCGCCAGTGTCCTTCACTGCTGTCTGCTGTCCTCATGTCCGTGCCCCTCACTTACTTCCTGTCTGCCAAGTGGAATGGAGGCTGCACCCTCCAGCTTTGATGAAGGAACTGTTCCTTTTCCTCTTCGGAATAGTCCCTTTATACCCTTTACACTAAATTGCCACACACACACACACACACACACACACACACACACTTCTGGAATAGTCCCTTTATACCCTTTATATACCAGGTTGCCACACACACACACATACACACCCCACAATTGCAACTTTTGCTGGAGTCCTTCTATTGGAACTGTAGCACTGTAGCACTGTCCTGTTGTTCATCGATTTGTTCGAGCGGGCACCAGTAACGTCTCCATTGTGAGATTTGTTACTGTTTTTGGCATATCGAATATGCCATGGGGAGCATGCCAGGCTCTGCCATGCGGGCAGGATACTTTTGGTAGCTTGCTGGACTCTCCGAGAATGACGGAGGAATCGAACCCGGGTCGGTCGCGTGCAAGGCAAACTTCCTACCCGCTGTGACATCACTCCAGCCCCTACACTGGCAGAAGCCTATTCTCTCTATTTGCAAACCCTCCTTTCTTATTGTCTGATCCCTTTTAGCTGCTCTGGTTTCTTCACATTATCTTTTCTAGGACCACATGGCCCCTGGTTAGGGAACACTGCTTCAAGGGCCAGTTGGGGGTTTTGGCTTCTGTGACATTTTTTGAACCTTTACTACTGTGAACAGTTTCCCAGCCCCATGAAGCTTCCCTTGGCTTCTGCCCTTTCCTTCATCCCCTCATCCTTGAGGACCCCTCAGTTTGCTCCTCAGACCCTAGTCAGTCACTTCTTTCCCCATTCCCTTTAAATTATCCTGCTTCTCTTGTCTCTAAAAAGTAAGTTTCTTTTCATCTGGTCTCTCCCAAATAATTCCATTTCAGATTGGATTACCCAGATATCAGACTGGTAACTACATGTACTGCCCGTGACTTTCAAACTGAATACCGTTTGAACTCCGTTTCCACCTGCTAATATTTTTTCATCTGTTTTCTCTGGATATCACCCAAGAACCCTGGGAAGTGTCCCTGACCCCTCCAACGTGCTCCTCACTTGCCTCTTGCCCTCCCTTCTCTTGCCCTGCCACCCTTGCCGTCCTTCTCAGCCCAAGGCAGTAGTGCTGGCTCTGTTCTCCTGGGGTCCCTGTACCCACACTTTGTGCAGTGTTGAGGCGGTTTTCCTAACCCCCTTCCAGATCCTCTTGAGATTCAAACTGTGTCGCTTTTGTAACTTTTGTTTTTTGTTTGTTTGTTTGTTTTGTTTTGACTTTTTTTGTAATGTCTTTCTTGGGTCACATCCGGCGATGCTCAGGGGTTATTCCTACACTCGTAGGAATTACTCCTAGGGGTGCTTGGGGGACCCTGTGAGATGCTGAGGATGGAACCTATGTCGGTCGCGTGCAAGGCAAATGCCCATCCCGCTGTACTTTCGCTCCAGCCCCTGTTGTAACTTTCGTGCAGCCTTTATGCTGAGTCACTGATGGCCTCCTCCACTGACTGGATTGTGGCACGGTGGTCACCTGAGGTTGGCCAGGTGTCCACCGGGCTCATGCTCAGCCCCTACTACATCCTGGGGGTCCCATCTTGAGTCCCTCCAGCCAGCACCCCAGCGGCAGGTGCAGTAGGCACGCACTCTCGTCTGCAAGTCGCTCTCTTCCTCACAAATCTACTCCTGCTTTGCCATCAGCCTCAGGTCAAAGCTTTTCTCCTTTGGAAAAGGTTTGCTTTCTCGAACCCACACTCAACTCTCCTTTTCCTAAACTTTTCATTGTACGGCCTCTCATTGTGTTACTTATCAAATCCTTCATAGTACATAAAACAATATCTCCCCTGGGTCTGGAGTGATAGCATAGCGGGTAGGGTGTTTGCCTTGCATGCGGGTTTGATTCCCAGCATCCCATATGGTCCCCTGAGCACTGGCAGGAGTAATTCCTGAGTACAGAGCCAGGAGTAATCTCTGTGCATCGCCAGATGTGACCCAAATAGCAAAAACAACAACCAATACAATATCTCCTGGAGAAAGTGCCCAGGGACAGAATGCAGTTCTTCTGTATACAGGGCACCATCAGGGGTAGCCCTGAGGGTCCCCACTGAGCCTGGGCGGGCCTCGGCAGTGTTGCTTGGCCTTGCAGAGAGCGCTTACCCGGCAACCTGTGCCACAGAGCCAGTTTTTTCTGCAAGCCCCAAGCACTGCTGGGGAGTCTCCCTAGTTCAACTGCAAGCTCCTTGCTAGCCTACAAGCCGTGTCCTGTACTTCCTCTGTGAGCCATTGGTCCGTTTACTGCTAACGTTCCTGACCAGCTCCTCTCCTTAGTTCTGGCCCTGTTGGCATCTCTGGCCTCCACCTCCTTGTCTGCCAACTGCTGCTCCTCCCTGCGTCTCCCACACCCTTTCCCCTCGTCCAGCCAACTGTCCCCCGCTGTGCCTTCCTTCCCTTTCTGCTGTCTCTGCTCCTCCTGTGACTCTTAGGTAACTCGGGGCTGAGCCAAGCATTGCATAGGCCCAGCACCCCAGTGGCCAGTTTAGAATATTTGACATTTTTCCAACGGGGCTGGATTTCTCTGTTGAAACACTGACTCTGAAATCAATAACGTTTATGTAAAAGAAATCCTGTGGGGAATAAAAAAGAAAGAAAGAAATCCTGTGGACTTTTTCTGTGCACTTAGGCTGCCGTATTGACATACATGGTGTGACTTTCTTTCAGGAGCTGTTCGTCTCTACGACGGAACTAAAGGAGATGTCTGAGTACTACTTTGATGGGAAAGGAAAAGCCCTCCGGCCAGTCATTGTGGTGCTGATGGCGCGCGCGTGCAATAGCCATCATAATAACTCCCGGTGAGTGCCGGGCTTCTGTGCTTGGACTTGGTCTGTTCGAGGAGCTTCTTGCCAGTGGCTTCCATCTAGCTTCCTGTGTAAGAAGTAGCATGTCTAGGAAATTCACTTTTTCTGACATGGCTCCTGCCACCCTAGACTCTGATCTTCCTTCCCCACACTTTTTAATTTTAATTTTTTCTAGCTCTTTTGGGTCAAATCGTTGATCCTCAGGGGTTTCTCCTGGCTCTGCACTCAGGAATTATTCCTGGCGGTGCTCAGGGGACCCTATGGGATGGCGGGGATTGAACCCAGGTTGGCCACATGCAAGGCAAACCCCCTCCCCATGTACTATGACTCTGGTCCCTCCCACATGTTTTACTGTACACAGAAGAGCCCTGTTCACCACAGATGAAGGTGGTTCAAAGGCTTTTGAGAGCCAGGCCCAGTTACCTTGTTCCCGAGCAAGAGTGCCCCAATATATGTGTACACATAATCATTACCCACACTGGCAGTTAGTTCAAAGGTTGGTTGTGATAAAGCCGTGATTTGTGATTGGGGCACCACGTCCTCCAGCATGGCCCTCGGGAAATGCACCAAAGCCAGGTCTTCTTACAAGAAGGTATCCTAACTACTGCCCTCTGCTCTTGTGTTCTGCAATATTAAAATTGCTGCAGCGTTTCTTCTTATATTTTGGTTTGGGGGCCATATCGGCAATGCTTAAGGAAACATGGGATGCCAGGAATTGATCCCAGGTTGACCATTTGTGCAAGGCAAATGTCCAACTTTTTGTATTACCGCTCGGGCCCCAGCTGCAGCATTTTAATATCAAAAGCCTCCAATAAGGAGGCGCCCCCTTCAGCCCTCTCCATCATTCCCTCCTCCCCTGCCCACTCACACTCACTCTTACGCCTTGTTTCATTATCTCTTCTGCTTTGTTCCAACGCTTTATCACATCACCAGAGCATCTTCCTGGTAATGAATTTTTTATTCCTCATGTTGTTTATTGATGAGAAATCCAGTTGGCCGTGAGGGACTAACACATTTCCCCAGTGTGGAGGTTTTTTTGGTTTTTTTTTTTGTATCATAATTACCTTTTCTCTATAGTAGTCACACTGAGATCCTGTGTGCATCAGCACTAAAGCTCAGGATGTGGGAAGAACAAGTATTGGAGATTGCTCCTTTGAGATCCACCCACAGCCTTCTGTGCCTTGCTTCTGTCCCTGTTGTCCCCCATGCCTCACACCATGGTCAGGGCCGCCTTCCACTTATCCTGCCACCTTTGAATTGCCACAGTGCACTTCCAGCAGTGAGATCATTGGCATTGACCTTTGGACCTCATTGGCACCATCTCACTGCACCAGGAAGACGGGGTGGCAGAAATTCTCCCTCATGTACACCTCGTGTGGTCTGTCGAGCACAGGCTCCCTCTGCCTGGTCACCATGGATATTTGGGGCCCAGTAGTTCTTCATTGGGGGAGCTCTCCTGTGCATCATGGGAGATAAAGCATCATCTCTGTCCTCTGCCCTCAAGGTGCCAGTTAATGCCATCCCCGCTTTTCCTGCAATGTCTGACAGCCAGAAGCATTGCCCCACATTGTCAAATGCCATGGGGGAAGCAGAAGGGTCCTGAGAGAATCACTGCTGAGAGAACCATTGCTAAATCCTCTGAGGACTACGTAGCATGGCTCATGATCCTTAGAGATAACACGTGAGGGAAAGAAAATACTCTGCTCTCTAAATCCTGTCAACTGTTCTTTACAGGGATTTTTATCTTCCTTACAGAAACAGTATTAACTGTTGGTCTTAGAATACAAAGAGAATACCACACAGAACAGATATGGCTGGTCTCAAAAATAGGACAGTCCTTCCCCTTCTGGGGATGTTCCTGTTCCCCCAAAGAGCTGAGAGCAGAGCTTGCTCACGGCCTGAGCAATGGCAGCATGTGGTGTCAGCCATGAGTCAAGATAGTGCATGGGGCTGGAGCGATAGTACAGCAGTTAGGGTGTTTGCCTTGCATGCGGCCAACCTGGGTTCGATCCCCAGCATCCCATATGGTCTCCTGAGTACTGCTAAGAGTAATTCCTGAGTACAAAGCCAGGAGTAACTCCTAGACACTGCCAGGTGTGACCCAAAAAGCCAAAGCAAAAAAAAAGATAGTAGCACATGTCTGTGTGGACCAGACTCCTGACTATATACTTTCCCCACCCCCTAGGAATACAGGCTTCCTACAAGATAGTACAATAGATAGGTGTTTGTATTGAATGCAGATGGCTCAGGTTCAGTTCCCGGCATCCAGTGTGGTCCCCTGAACACAGAGCCAGGAGTAAGCCCTGACTACCTCCCCAAAGCAAAACAGAATAAAAAAAGAATACAGATTTCTTCATGCCCTCTGAAAGTAGTCTTCTGTGAAAACTTTCATAAACCAAAGTGGTTTAGAGTAGAAAAAAATAAAAAGAAAGCCGCTACCATTTATTTCCATTTTTGGAAAACTTGTGCCCCCAGATCTGCCCTGCCATCACAGCAGGTCAACATGAAACCCATAATCACTGTAATGTGGAAAACCAGAGCCCAAAGGGATTTGAGATTGAAATCACACAGCCTGGATAGAGCGGTTTCTGGGGAAGGAGCCGTGAGTGGGGTAATGCCACAAATACCCAGCCTGTGTCCTTGGTCATGAAAATGAACATCCTCTCCTGTTTTCTTCCATGTAGCAGAGCAGATACTGATGTAGACCTGCTATAAAAAAGGAGAGTGGGGTGTTGTGGGTGTGGCATGGGGGAAATGGGGGCTGTCCTTGCTTTCCAAGGTCCCTCAGACCAGGCACCTAGCTGTCACTCTCATGCCACACAGAGAAGAAAGTGAGGTCGGAAGGGAGCTCGGGGCCTGTCGGCTCTTTGAGTTTGCTTACTGTGAAGGATCTCGAACAATATGCTACCCAGGCGACGCAAGGTCCAGGCTAAGTGCTCTCACAGCCCCCTCTGTGGCCTGTCCTTGGGGCCCTGGACATCCAGAACCTGCTCTATTGCTTCGGCGTTCCTCAACCTATGTCAGACCGTGGTCTTCTTGCCCCCTCGTTTCCTTCCTATGGCCACTTCTGTCCTACTGGGGGGCCATTTAGTCTCATGCTGTGGTCCTTTTTTGCACAGTTTTAACCTGTGACTCCATGGACTGTCGTGGCAATGGCATCCCACTGGCAAACGCTGTTACTTCACAGGCTTGCTGTTGGTGAGGGTAGAATTTCCAGAGACCTGTCTTTTGGCTTGCGTTTTGGTTTGGGGGCCACACCCAGCAATACTCAGAGGTTACTCCTGATTCTACCCTCAGGAATCACTTTTGCCTGTGCTGGGAGGACCATATGGTATGCTGGTGCTTGAACCCTGGTCAGCCATATGTATGCACAGCAGGCGCCCTCCCCCCTGTACTATCACTCTGCGCCACCCTCCACCACCACTATGAAAAATCCCACTGCTGCCTTATTCTGTAGCACCCCAGATCCTGCAGGTCTGAAATAATAACATCATGGTGGGTTACTGAATGTTCCCAACCTTCTGCAAAACAAAAAAAAAAAAAACAAATAGAAATCTTGCAGAATGAATTTTATTTTTTTAGGGACCATGGTTCACAGAGTCATTGGCAATAAAGTGGCACATAATGTGTCACCTTCAGCCCCACCCCCAGTGCCTGCCTCCTGCCAGCAAGGACCCCAGATGCCTGCCCCTCCCAGCCTGTCTTAGCGACAGGCACATTTTTAGGTGTTGTGGTTTGGGGTCCCCCCAGGAGCACTGGCTCTAGTGGTTTAGGGATATACAAGCCCCTCCCTTCTCCGCTGTAGGAGAGAAAAATTGCTCGTGTTTTTCCCAGGCTTTTTGCTTCCTCTCCTCTCCTTTCTTGGCATTTTCATTTCTGTAATCTAGGGCCAGGGGTTTGATACTTTCCACGGAATTCATTTTATTTGGAGCTAAATCTGAAAGAACTGCTCTTCGATGCCTCGTTCTCTCTGGGTAATGAAGCTGCTGATAAATTTGTGCCCACTATGACCCCACTGGGGCCTGCCGTTCCCACCACGGTGAGTCCAGTAAAGTCAAAGAAACAAAATTATAGGCCAGGGTTGAACAGCAGAGAGCAAAAGGCTCAACGGGGTGGGGTCAGTAATGAGGACAGCCCACATCTCAGGCAGGCGCAGTGAAATCAAGCACCTCTGAGAATCAGGGCGCTGCAGAGGAAACATTTGCTTATCAGCTGAAGAGGGGAGTAAAGATAAGACACTGTTAGGCTGAAAAAGGACACCTCACAAAAGGTATCCGTGATTTACTACTTGGATGCTGTGAGTGTTACCTTCCATGGCAGAAAAGGGTCTGTGCCTGGGATAAGGGAAATGGGGCGGTTCTCCTGAAATAGCTGATGAGCCTGTCTGGGAAGAAAGCTAGTCCTTACCTCCCCTTTTGGGAAATCACTGAATGAACACAGAGAGATTCTCAGAGAAAAGATAAGCTCTAGTGGTGGATACATGGAAGATCATTACGTCGAGTGAGGGCACCTGTCCTGTGGTCATTCTAGAAAGGTGGCAGTAAGCAGGGAACAAAAATCAACAGCCCTGGGCCGGGGCAATAGTACAGCGGGTAGGACATCTGTCCTGCACACAGCCGACCCAGGTTCGATCCCTAACACCCCAGCTAGTCCCCTGAGCCCACCAGGAGTGATCCATCAGCCCAGAGCCAGGAGTAAGTCCTGAGCTCCACTCGGTGTGGCCAAAAAATAAACCAAAAAACATGGCTGGAGCGATATCATAGCGAGTAGCACGCAGCCAACCCGGGTTCGATTCCCAGAATCCCATTTGGTCCCCAGAGCACTGCCAGAAGTAATTACTGAGTGCAGAGCCAGGAGTAACCCCTATACATTGCCAGTTGTGACCCAAAAAGCAACAAATAATAATAATAAATAAATAAACCAAAAAAAGTGAAACAAAATCAAGAAAGGAAAGGGGATTTTTTCCTAGGGTTTAAGTACAGATACTAGGCCCTTGTCTGAAATATTAAGACTGTTTTTTTTTACCTCCAATATGCTCAGAATGATTTATTTCCTTTTTAAAAGGAGATAATTGGGGGCCAAGGGGTAGGGACACACATTGTTGGATCTTCTGTTTCTACCATTCACAATAACCAGCCTGCCTTTGGGTGCATCCGGAGGCAACCCCACAGACTTAAATGCCAGCACACATATTCCTTTAAGAAGGAGGCGATGGGGACTGGAATGATAGCACAGCGGGTAGGGCACTTGCCTACACACAGCTGACCCAGGTTTGATCCCCAGCATCACATATACTCCCCCCGAGCACTGCCAGGAGTAATTCCTGAGTACGGAGCCAGGAGTAACCCCTGAGCATTGCTGGGTGTGCCCCCTTCCCCCTCAGTCCCCCAAATAAAGGAGAGAATGCCATCCACAGAAGAGAAGACATGGAAAAGTTGGCTGCCTTAAAGATGGGCATCATGATGATCCACAAGCCAGGTCCTGCCCACAAGCTTAGGGGACTGGTGTGGCAGAAGATTTTCTCTAAAACACGCCTGCCTACACTTGGGCTCTGCTCACCAGAGCTGCTTTCAGGTTTCTAGGAAGGGGAGAACATTTCTTTGGTAACATCCTCCAAGGCTGTGGTCAAGCATTACAATAGCCACAGAAACCGGATGCGAAACCAGAACCCCACCCTTGCCACATCTGAGTGTGGGGTGTGCCCGGAAGGGTTTCTCTCCCTCTGGAAGGGCATCATCCCTGTTCCTGATGAGGCCGACAGAAGTAAAAGCCACGCATAGCCACAGGCTGAGTAAGAGCCAAGTGGCAGATACAGGGCAAATCTTCTGTGCGTCTCTAGGATTATTCTGCCTCTGCAGTCTATTGAAAACTTGCAGGCGTTTCAGCAAGCCACTAGGAAATGCAGTTCATGTGCTGGAGAAATTCAGAGAGGGAAAGAAAGAGGGGGAGGGGGGAGAGAGAGACAGACAGACAGACTTGGTTTGTGTGTTATGTGGCATTTCTAGATGTGACTTTTGAAATGCCTATGGAAGCCAAGAGTAAGAGGAAAGGGGTTGCACCACCTTGAATTGAGCTTTGTAGCTCTTGGATTGTTGAAGAGACTGAAGGGTCACTAGCACAGTCCACTGAACTCATCACCCCCATAGCCAAGATTCAAGTCACCTGGTGCTCCCACTTCTGTCCCCACACCCCCGCTAGAGGCACTGCGGCAGTGATCAGCAACAACATTCATTTGTGGCTTCAGGATACCAAATCACCCTGTCCTCGGCTTAGTTCTTGCAGATGCGGGTGCTTGTGTCCTGCCTTGAAGAGCTCTCTCTGCTGCTGCCGTGCCTGGGGCTTCTGTCTGCATTTTCAGGAGTGTTGGATTCGAAGTTCATGGACACAGGCTAGATACTTCAGCAATTCTGAGCTTGTCAAGAGTTCTGACATAGGCAAGCACTTATTTTTAGAATTGCCAGAAGAGAAAAGAACATTTTCTGAGACAGAACTGGAACCGTCTGTGCTAGTCCGGAGGGCCCCGTTCTTGGTACAGCCCCTCATGCTTTGAGCCTAGAAGCTTCCCTGTCTCTGTTGCCAAGGTGAAACCAAATGGGCTTCAGTGTATTTGCTTCTCCCGTGTGTTCAAACCCAGAAACTCCATTGACTTGGTTTGATTTTCTTTAGAGACATTTTTTCCATATTGGGATTTGGCCTCATTTTTCTTGGGCTTCATGTTATGTATTAGAATGGGTGGGGTGGGAGATCATGTATTTGGTAACATGGAAGCTGAGTGAAGGGGATGTGGGGGTCTGTCTCTCCGCCTCTTTGCTTGCAGTTCTTTGTGAGAAATGCGTTGTTTTAAGTCTAGTGCAAAGGAGAGAAGTTGCATGTACTGGCGGGCCAGCTGAATCATCACTCGCTCCTGCAGATGCGAGATCCAGAGGCCCATGCCAGCTCCTCCAGGCTCGGTGCTTCCTTTCCCCGTGCTACCTTGCCTGTCTGGCTTTTCTTCACACCTCCCACCAGTGGGGAAAGTGTGGCTGTTATTTCACAGCAGGAAGTAGACGTGACGCTCAGTTTTTTTGAAAGCATGAGTCAGTTTGGCCTGGGGAAGATTACATTTATGAACGATAGCGTGTGCAGGTTTTTCTGTCATTCGTAACATTGGATGATCTCCCCCTCTGCCACGCTGAGCTGTGGGGCTGCATTTTCCAGGTAGAAAGTGGCTCACGTGAGAACCTCTTAAGGCGGGGGCAAAGGACAGCAGAGAAAATTGAAAAGCATCTAAGATAGGACGTTTCTTCCCGTCCAAGTGCTAGCTTGTGTTTGTTTGATCAGCCAGAATCCTGACTGCATTGGCAGATGGTTTAACCTGGCAAGTCCTGCTCATACGTACATGCGGAGTCTGAAATTTCGGGGGTCGAGGAGCGCTTTGGTCCTTATTTGAATAGGTTTTAGATGCAGAAACTTCCCGTGTGGGTCAGTCAGCCGCTCTTTTACTCCAGCTTTCCAGAGTGTGGTAGTGAAAGTGCTGCCCAGCCCTGAGCATGGGAGAAAGGCATGAACCATCTAGAAACAACAGAAGCATGCAGTTTGCAGCATCATGGATGGAGCTGGAAGAAGTCAGTCAGAAGCAAAGGGAGAGTTCGAGAATGTTCTCTCAGGATATGCAGCATGCTAGCAACCAAGAACAGCACAAAGGGAGAATGGGTGCACACAGTTGAGTGGGGTGGGTGGGGATGAAGGGGCGTGACGTTCCTTGGAAGAGGGAGGCAGTCCACTGGTGACAGGTGTGCTGTTGGAATTCTGTGCCTAAGAAACCGTTATTAATAGCATACTAAGAGCCTCAGATTTTGAAGTGTTTTTTTTAAAAGGCGAGAGCCCTCAACAGGTAAAGTTAAGTGGGGGTGTGGGGCAGGGCTGAGGGTTGCTCAGGGGTCTGAGCGTTTAGTGTCTGTCCCATGCTCGAGGTGACCAGCTCGCCTCTCTCAGCTGCCTCCCCACCCTGTGTCAGTGGTTCTAAGCTACTGATCCCTAGGATGTGTATATTTTATTAGACAACAATTCAAATGAGAAAATATCCTTTCATCCTTCATACCCATAAAACTACTCTGAAAGTCTCTGTCTTTCCACTCCGTGCTTTCCACTCACCTAAGAAACACTTCAAGAAACTTAGTTGAGGGCCAGTGCCATAATACAGTGGATAAGGTGTTTGCCTTTCACACGGCCAACTGGAGTTCGGTCCCGGCATCCCATATGATCTCCTGAACCCCTCCAGGGGTGATGCTTGAGCACAGAGCCAGGAGTAATGTGTAAGTATCACCGGGTGAGGCTCAAATACAAAAACAAACCAAAAAAGAAGAAACTTAGGTGAGCAATCTTTGTGGTACAGGTTTCCGGTTACATAATACAGGATCTATGGCTCATGTTGAGAGGACAGCAGGCTTGCTCTAGGAAGCAGTACGCTTCCGTACTCTCTTGCTAAATGACGTTTCCCTACCTCCTTGGCCTTATTTTCTCCCCCTTGGAAGGAGGCGCTGTGATCTGAAAGTATTTGGAACTGTCATAATTGTGACATATTAGTAAGTGATGAGAAGCACCTTATACCTGATCCCAGGCTGAAAACAGTTGAAAGGTTCTGAGGGCTCTTCCATCCTTAGGTAAGAGGTACTTTGGCAAAGTTCCCGTATTTGACATTTCTATTTAAAGCAAGATTGGAAGTTATTTATTTTCATGATTTGGTGTTTGTAGATACATTGCTTTCTGCCAGGCCTGATATATTAGAATGAACATTATCTTACATAGGTGTTTTGGATTAGATTTTTCAAGAAAAAGTTGAATATTTCAGTCTCTCTCTTTTTTCCCTTCTAAAAGATAATTTGATGGTCCATGGAAAGCAAACTATTGAGATAAGTTGGTATGTTGAAGTCTGTTGCTGTATCGAAATCTGGCATATGTTTTTGGCTCAAAAAATCCAATTATTTGCTCTGTTTAATTTTCTAGAAATTTGTTTTTTAAAAAAATTCCCATGGATCCTGGATGATGATTAAAAAGAAGCTGGTGGGAGGCGGGGGAGAGGGTGCATTCCCTTTTAAGTATAAAATTCCCATCCTTAGATCTTCTTGAAGACTTACCCTATTTCATTTGTTAAATCTGGGAGGCAAAAAGTTAAATAGGACTTAGAAGAAAGTTTTTTCCCTGCGCCCTCTCCATCATCCCCAACTCTGTCTTAATTATTAGATCTTCTTGATAAACACTTGAGACATTATTATGCATTTTGAACATGTTACCATTTGGGGTTCTTTCATTTTTTTAGAATGCTGCTCACCTGTCATCCAGCCACCCACCTGGGGAATTTAATTGGACATAACTGAGCTAGCTCCACTGGCAAAGGCATCAGTTAAAGGGGGTGGACATCAGATAAAGGGGTGATCCTTCACTTTTCTGGCCAGATTTCTGAGATGTTCATTTGTTTCCATTGCTAATTATACAAACTCTACTTCTTTTCTGTAAATAAAATTCTGTTGCATAACATTGGTTTACTATATTATGTAAGTTTTAAATGCATCCTTATCCTTCCACATCCATTTCACTAACCAAGATCACTGCCAGGCTGGACCACGCCCGTTTTGCCCATTTCATCTGCCTTCAAACCTCCATGCAGAGAGATTCCTCTTGAGAATCTTTTCTCTATATCGGCTTTGTTTTTATGTTGTCTTTGTTTGCTTTGCCAGTTCTTCTCTGTAAAACATGATGTTGGCAGGATAGCCCATGTATTTCAAAACATGTTCTCCACACAACAGAAACAGCACTGTAAGGAAGCCAAGATTTTTAATGCAGTTTCTCTTAGAGAAATAAAATTCTCTGTCCTAGATCCGATGTCCGGTTTTCACAAGATGATTGCTGAGGAGGTTATAGGCGGAATCCCTGTTAAAAAGCATTGCTTTCTGTTGACTAGAGATGTGCAAGCCAGCCAGCGCTCCATAGCCTTAATTGCAGAAATGATCCACACTGCTAGTCTGGTTCATGACGACGTAATTGATGATGCAAGTTCTCGCCGAGGAAAGCACACGGTTAATAAGATCTGGGGTGAAAAGAAGGTATGGCTTCTTGTTTTTCATAAATCTTCCTTACCACGTCACATGTTCTTTGGGTTGTATTTGTTTTGTAGGTTTTTCCTCGTTAAAATAAAATAGCCTCTGATGAAGTCATAAGATGTTCAAAGTAGTGTAGTGTTTGTGCCTTCTCTGTTCGGAGATATTTGCTAAAGCTACTGAAAAATAGACCTAGCAGGTTTGGGTTACTCCCACTTTTAGATAGAATTCCTTTTGATTGTAAGGAATGGATTTTTGTCTGCTCAGCGACTGCTCCCAGCTCTTTGCTGAGTGCTCGCTCTGGTGCTTGGGAGATCATATCCAGGGGTCAAACCGTGGATCTCCCGCACACAAAGCATACTGAGCTATTTCTTTGGCCCATGTAAAGGAGTTTTTATAGTTATCCAGTACACCACTATCATGTGGTTATCAAGAGACATTTTACATTTGAACTCAAATTCAGTTTAATTCACCAAGCCGTTTATTTTAAATGCCTCATGCAAGATTGTGAAAGCAAGTAAGTGGGGCCTGGAGAGATAGTCCAGTCAGAAGGATACTTGCCTTGCACATCGCCAGCCTGGCTTTCATCCCTAATATCCCATGTGGTTCCCCAAGCCCCACCGGGAATGATCCCTGAATGTGGAGGTAGGAGTAAACCTCAGAACTGTCAGGGGGGACCCCCAAACAAACAAAAAGCAAAAGAGTGAAATGAAATACATTTATAGATATCTTATACTATTCATAACAGGCAATACAGAATAAATTATCTAGCATCTGCTAGTGGGGCAAGCTTAAGTGGTGGTGGGAAACTTCTAAATAATGGTGGTGAGAAGTTGTAATGGTGATGGGATTGGTGTTGAAATATGAATATAATCAATTATTGTGAACAACTTTATGAAAATAAAATTAAAATTTTTTTAAATTGAAGAAATAGTTGATATAAAAAAAAAGAAATACATTTCTATTTCAGAGGGATACTGTTCTCCCATACAAATTTTACTATTGTAAATAGAGACTCTGTAGTTGGATTTCATTATTCTATGTGTATTTTTAAGCATATTTCCACAATTTTTATTAGTATTTGAGTTTTCATTTTATTATTATTTTTAAAAATTTTAGGCACCATGATTTACAATACTGTTATGATAAAGAGTTTCATGCACAGTGTTCCAACCCCACACCCTTCACCAGATTTATTAGTATTGCTGAAGGGGGTTGCATGTGAGTGGGGGTTTTACTTGAGGCTCTGTTGGAGAACGGAATGAATGATGCCGAGCGAATGTTCCCTGTTCCTGCACGCGCTCGATTTTCTTTAATGCCTTTGACTTGGTTGTGTAATCAGGTTGTGTGGCTTTATCTGGAAGCTTTTCGCCCGTGCATTGCACTGGTGATCTGAAGGTGGTAGGGTATGTTCTGGACAGCTTCTCGGGAGGCTGTACGCCCCATGCCTGTCACCAGTCAAAGGTGCCTGTTTTTCAGGCTGTCCTCTTATGTTCTTTGAGTCCGTGGCTAGAGGCAGAGGATTAAGAGAACAAATGAAGCTGGTTTTTGGTTTTGCTTTTTATTTGTGGTGCTAGGAATCAAACCCAGACTCTCCCACATCCAGGATGTTTATTCTACTTGGGGCACTATGATTTGCAACGTTGTTCATAATAGAGATCCAGGCAGGTGGTGTCCTGGACACCAATCCCTCCACCAGCATCGGTTGGGTTCTCTCTGAAGGCAGGAGACCAAGCTCACTGCTGCTGTCCAGTCCCTTTCATCCCTGAGCCCGGCCAGCTCTGTCCAGGTCCACCTGCTTGTCTTCTCCTGATTTGTCTCTGAACCAAAATCAAGACCAAGAAAAATACCGCCCCCCTTTTTTTTCAGTTTTGTTTTGTTTATTTGCTCGAGCGGGCCCAGTAACGTCTCCATTGGAGACTTTGTTTTTACTGTGTCTGGCATATCGAATACTCTCGGTAGCTTGCCTTTTTACTTTGTTTATTGCTTTTGGGCCACACCCAGTAATGCTCAGGGCATCCTCCTGGCTCTGCACTCAGGAATTACTTCTGGAGGTGCTTGGGGACCATATGGGATGCCAGGGATGGAATCCAGGTCAGCTACATACAAGGCAAGCAACCTACCCGCTGTACTATTGCTCCAGCCCCAAATCCCCCCCCCCCCCTTTTTTTAATGAAAATTAAAAACCCCATGTACCCCATGTGATCCCTCATTACCCTGCTTGGCTTCCCAGCCTTGCCTGCCTTTAGTTCCTCACTCCAGTCACCCGCAGTCACCCCATCATCCGCGGGCCCACAGTTCCAGTGCCATATGCAGGAAACTTGGTCTCCAGGTTCCCCAGGGCCAGGGTAGGAAAGAGGCAAAAGACCTTGCAAGTCCTCCAAGCTTTATATTCACACACACACACACACACACACACACACACACACACACACAGTGGTAAATGGACAAAAAGAAATGTGTGCATACATGATATAGTGTATACAGGTGAGTTTATAAATATTTATACCGAGATAATGTAATACGAAATGATGATCAATAGTTGAACATACAATAAATATAACTAGTTTTAGGTCCTAGTGCGATCAGAACTTCAGTGTGGCGATGTTCAATTCTGCAAATTAAAATTTGTGAAAGCTATTATTTGTAATTTCTGTATAACATTTAGGTATATCTTTAGACGTGCAAGTAGTGTAGTTGTTTGCATTATAGAATTTGATTCTGTGTATAATTTGCTATGTGTTACAATTGCAGTTTGGATATCTCCTCACAATCTGAAGGAGATTGATGTTCAGTGGGAAGAACAAGTATTTTGTTTAAGAAAAGGACCAGTCAATGAGCGTGCCAAAGCACTGAGCTTGGAGCCAAAATTCCTTTTTACTATGGGGGAAAAAAGTGTTTTCTGCCATGCACGGGTGTGCGAGTACAGCCCGAGATATTTTCCTGTCCGTGCCTTCCGGGATTTGGGGCAGTAAAATCATGGACTGGGAAGGGACATTGTGACCACAGCAAGATGCAAGGGTTGTTATGCCCGCACTGAAGAGATGTGTCTCATCAGACGGGGATCTTCACAGACGTGCAGGGAGGTATTGTCAGAGCTGATTTCACAAATGAGCCAGGTGAAGATGGGGGAGGACACTTTTTGAGCAGAGAGACACTGAATTCAAAGGCTCAGGGCAGTCTGAGGGGAAAGCCAGGAAAAGGAAACTTAAAGCTGCCACGTTTTTGCTTGGGTTAGGGACTGAAATGCAAGAGTAGCCAACTGGAATGGGGGCTGGGGGTGTGGCTTGGTGGTCGAGCACTTGCCTTGCATGTGCTAGGCCCAGAGAGAGGGTCAGCTGCTTCTCTGTGAGTGAACGCAGATCTATGAGGGTAGAGGGTCCTGCTGAGGAAGAGTGAACCTCCCAGCAGGGCACTGCATATTCTCTTCTAAGGCCATTCAGTGTCATCTCTTTGGCTCTGATGTGTTTTTTTGAATGTTTCTCTCCCTCACTTTTAGGCTGTTCTAGCTGGAGACTTGATTCTTTCTGCAGCATCAATAGCTCTGGCACGAATTGGCAACACAACTGTTATATCTATTTTAACCCAAGTGATTGAAGATTTGGTGCGTGGTAGGTTACTTCTGAGTTTTCTTTTCTTTTTTTTTTTATAAATTTCAGTCAGCATTTAGCCAGGCCAAAAAAAACATCTCTCAAATGCTGCTTTTCCTTCTCTGTAGGTGAATTCCTTCAACTTGGATCAAAAGAAAACGAAAATGAAAGGTTCGCACACTACCTAGAAAAGACCTTCAAGAAGACTGCAAGTCTGATAGCCAACAGTTGTAAAGCAGTATGTACGTTCTGTCTTTTTTCAAGTTAAAAAAAAAAGTCTCATAACTCTTTCTTCAAAGTTAATTCTCTTAGAAAAATGTCACTGGAGAATCTTAAAATTAGTAACAAAACTCCCACATGTCATTAAGAAAAGAATTCTATCCCCAAACACCAAGAGAATTTTTGTTTTTCATATTTTACTCTCTTGTTTTGCTTGGCAAACATTAGCTTAAATCTGACTGAGAGAAAGTACAGTGGTAAGGTACTTTTCTTGCACGCATCTGACCTGGGTTCAATCCCCAGCACCCCATATGGTCCCTTGAACCCTCCAGGAGAGATTCCTGAGCACAGAGCCAGGAGTAAGCCCTGAATACAGTCCAGTGTGGCCCCCAAAGAAAAATAAAATTGACTTTAATAATAGTAAGCTTAATATTTGTAATATTTATTCTACTTGGGGCACTATGATTTGCAACGTTGTTCATAACAGAGATCCAGGCAGGTGGTGTCCCCGACACCAATCCCTCCACCAGCATCGGTTGGGTTCTCTCTGAAGGCAGGAGACCAAGCTCACTGCTGCTGTCCAGTCCCTTTCAGCTCTGTCCAGGTCCACCTGCCTGTCTTCTCCTGATTTGTCTCTGAACCAAAATCAAGACCAAGAAAAATCCCCCATCCCACCCCCCTTTTTTTTCCAGTTTTGTTTTGTTTATTGCTTTTGGGCCACACCCAGTAATGCTTAGGGCATCCTCCTGGCTCTGCACTCAGGAATTACTTCTGGAGGTGCTTGGGGACCATATGGGATGCCAGGGATGGAATCCAGGTCAGCTACATACAAGGCAAGCAACCTACCCGCTGTACTATTGCTCCAGCCCCTGAAAGGTTGTTCAATACTGTGTTCTTTCTCTTTTTTTTTTTTTTATTCTTTCGAACCAACTATACCTGTTGGTCCTAGGCAGGTCGAGGGGTGTCAGGACTAACCCCAATGCACTAGGCATGGAGCTCTTGTAAGCGTGTTCTCTGCTGTTGGGTCCACCCACCCAGCCTAAATGCTGCTGCGTTCTTCTAGTCAATGGAGACAGAGCAGAGAGTATCTACGACTAGCCCTCTCTGACTTTCTTCACGAACAGTAGATACTTTTGATTTTTTTTTCCTTTTTTTTGGTTCTTGGGACACACCAAGAGCTGTTTCTGACATTTTTTATTCATTTATTGTTTGGTTTTCTTGTGCTAAGGATCAGTCCTATGTAAAGCACGTGCTCTGCCTCTGGGTTGTATCCCCAATTCCTCGATATTTTTGTTTTTGTGCCACACCCCACTGTGCTCAGGGCTTCCTCTTGGTTCTGCACTCAGGAATTGCTCCTGGTGGTGCTCAAGGACCATCTCGGGTGCCTGGAGTGAAGCTGGGCTGGGTGCGTGCAGGTGCCTTACCCACTGTACTAGCTCCCTGGCCTCTTTCTGTTGGTTGAATCTAAACTGACTTTTCCTCCCCTTTGCTTTTTCCTTTGACTTCTCTCCACTCTCTACATAGTAATCTCTAAGAGACAAAGTAAAGAACAACAGCATTTTCTGCCAGGGAGGTAGCACAGAGAGATAGAGCACTTGCCTTGCACCATGTATAAGGGCTTTGTTTCAGCCCCCAGCATTAGCGAGGGGAGGAATATATATATATATATACATATATATATATATATATATATGTGTGTATATATATACAGGCTGGAGCAGTAGCACATTGGTAGGGTGTTTGCCTTGCACGCAGCCAGCCCGGCTGAAATTCCTCCACCCCTCTCGGAGAGCCCGGCAAGCTATCTCGCCCATGTGGCCAAGCCTGGCAAGCTACCCGTGACGTATTCAATATGCCAAACACAGTAACAAGTCTCAAAATGGAGACATTACTGGGTCCGCTCAAGAAAATCGATGAACAACAGGAGGGCAGTGTTTGTTTTGTGTGTATATACACACACACACACACACACACACACATATATATGTATACACACACGCACATACATACATATATATGTATCAGTAGTCTATTCATATATATAAACCATGCATATATATTTAGAATATATATATTTCAGAATCATTAAATGTGATGTCTTCATGAATGAGAGATAATTTCCACCAAAGAATTGTTTGTCTGATTATCTCACATTTAACAGATGTAAGGGTGAAAATCTGGGTCAGTATCTGGGTCAGTAAGTCTCTTTAATCAAAGCAACTAGGAAAACCCTCTAAGGGGAAATGTAAATTGCTGTCATGATATTCTTGACATAATTACAGTTAAAGAGGTCTCTTGGGTGGAAAAGTTCCTTAGCAATAATGTCTCTCTTTGGGGAAAAACTGAATGTGAGGCAGAAAAGAACAAAAAGGACATCTTTCTAAAATATACCTACTTGAAACCAAACCTTAAGGAATGTGAATTATATGGAACACACTGGCTGTAGTCTTAGCCTTCTTTGTTTTTACTTGAGAGGGCTAGTATTTTTTTAATTTCCAAGAAATTGCTGGTGTTTAAGGAGAAACAAAGAAAACATGATTGGTGCTGGAATGCTCCATAAAAGAATGACGGATCTCAAATTGCTGCCGTGAAGCTGTTTCAGTAGTTGTTCGTTGATCAGTATCTGCATAAAAGTTAAGAATGCGTCTCACTAGACACTGGCATGGGAAGTGGACTTCCCTCATTATCGCTTTGCTGGAGACTGTAGTCAGAAGTGCAGGCAGAGGCTGGAGCAATAGCAGAGCAGGGAGGGCGTTTGCCTTGCATGTGGCTGTCCCAGGTTCGATTCCTACCATCCCATATGGTTCCCCACGCACAGCCAGGAGTAATTTTTGAGTGCAGAGCCAGGAGTAACCCCTGAGCATCACTGGGTATGACACAAAAAGAAAAAAAAAAAAAGAAGTGTAGGCAACCCAGGGATTCTTGGACCTTGAAACAGAGTCACTGTCTGTGCAGTGGCTTCCCCACTGGCACAGGGCACCACCCAGAATTGGAAGTGGAATGAGAACTAATGTACTGAATCAGTTACTGAGTACTGTATTCAGTAATGTACTGAATCATTACTCAGTCAGTAATAAACTGACTGAAGTGAAACCTTGAGGGGTCTCAAGGAGGTAGACTCTAGTCGTCAGTGGTGGTCACCATCCTGTACGAGTAGCCATCCACCCATTAGCATGTGAAACTGGATGTGACACGTGAGCACAGCCTGGACCTTAAGGAAACTGATGAGTTCTTTGCTGTCCACTAGGAGGCATAGTGGCCCCATCCCAGAAAAAACACCTAAACCACCTTTCCCAGGATTTGCTCCTCAAAACCCTCTCCCCTCCCCCAGCTGTTTGGCTAATGAAGCAAAGTCATAGGGTGAGCAAGCTCTGGATAAAAGGTTCTGTATGTGAGTGTCTGCGGGTGGGAGGATTCTAGAGTTGTTGAGAGTTGTTAAATATTCAAAATCACTATTTTTATGTACGCCTGGTATTTAAGATGCAAACACATGTGGGCTCCAAAAGGAAGATACACAGAGCAAGTCATCAATGCCCAAAAAAGAGGGGATATGGAAAAATGTAAATGTAAATATCAGGATAATTACAGAAGAGCGACTGCAATTTCAAGATATAGGGTTTAAAGGAAATTTAGCAACTTACAGTTCATGTTTGTAATGACACTTTTTCCTCCCCACTTTTTTTTTTTTAACCACTCAGTATTTTTTGTAGAAAGTAAAAGTCATGCTTTGGTGATACCAAAACGTTGTTTTGTGATACCAGTTGATATGGAAATAGAAGTAAACCTATAAAAGACAGTTGGCCATGAATTGCATAGAATGTGAATCCCTTGGGAATGTGACCAGGCCGATGGTACCGTCCAGTGTTGCTATCTGAGTTGGCATTTGAATCCAGAACTGAGTATGGCAATCCTGCCTTCGTTTGCTTTCCTCTCCTATTTTTTCCCCCTTGTTTCTGGATATCTGTTCTCCAGTGTTGCATGAGGCCTGGACTCAATGGGCTATCTTTCTGTTATTTGATTTCCAAAGCTCCAGATTGTCACCACAGAGTTCTGTGGGTCCTTTGAATAGAGCTCCGTTTGCTTGGTTCTGATCTTATGCAATCTCCAGATGGCCCTTATACAGATTTTGCCAGTTGCCCTAATACTCTTTCACCAGTAGGGGTACAGTGATTTTGTGCTCCAGGATCCAGTGCAAGATCTCAGGTTGCCTTTGGTTCTCACGACTCTAGTTTCTTTGAATTTGTCAGATTCTCTGGGTTTTCTTTGTTATCGTGTCATCTTAATGTTTTAAAAAGATCCAGGCTGCTTACATTGTTGAGCCTCTCAGATTAGTTTACTGTCTCACAAATTGGATTCCAATTGGGAGTTTGGGCGGGAACGCAGCAGAAATGATGTTATCTTCTTCATCAGCCAGGTGGCTCCTCAGACCTCTTTTTATCTTCCTGGGGACACTAATGTTGATTGGCTGGACTGCCAGGTTTCTTCACTGTAAAGTTGCGATTTTTTTTTTTAACTATTTGGGATGAAGTATTTTGAGGTCATGTAAATATTTTGCTTTTTACTGTCATCCATTCATTGTGACATTCCTTCTGCCCTGGGGCAGCTATGGTGACTGTTCCATCAGGTTTTCTGATTCTGCCGTTCTTTTGATTCCATGCTCTCCAGGGGAGTTAGTATTTCACGTTGAGAAAGGCCTTGAGTCCTAGATTCTGATTTTAGTCTATGGATTATAACCCTTTATTATTTACTTCAGTGCTTAGTTGTGCCGTGTGTGGGGAGACCGTGTAACCTGGTTCTCTGCTCTTTTACCACACCCCTATCATTCTTTCCATCCTTCTGTAATGTCTAGTAGATGTTCCAGGTTTGTCTTGTTCTTCCTCTCCTGGGGTTTATTTCTTCAAGAAGTCCTACTTCCCTTTGGCGGAACATGGTTATGAGAAACCACAGTCTGGCCCTGGAGAACTCAGGTCTCTATCCTAGTTTCTATTCCTTCCAACACACAGAACGAGGAAATATGTATGTGTGTGTTTATGTGTAGATGTGGCTGTCTCTGGCTCTATTCTATCTAGGTTTATGGAAGACCAAGCCTTAGCATAGTGTTGGCCTCAAATCCCATCAGACACCCCAGGATTCATGATTTATCCTAGCCTTTCTTGTTTCCCTATTTCTGGCTCCCAACCCCTGCTGGAGATCACTCCTGAGCACAGAGCCAGTAGTAACCAACCATAGTTCTTTATCTGTGATGTTTATGTTGTATGTCTTTTCTCAGTATATTCAATTGATTTTTTTTTAATTTTTAAAAGAATTTTGTTTTTATAAAGTTGTTTTTATAAAGCGATGATTCATTACATTCAGTAGTCCAGCACCAGTCCCACCACTATTATACTTTCCCACCATTATCTCCAATTTTCCCAACTACCACCCAAGTCCTAATAGCAGGCCCTAAGTATTTTATTTTGTATTGCTTGTTATGAATAATTAGCTTAAAATCTTCCTCCAAAAATTTCTTTAGGAAGAAATGTGTGAAGATTGTTTTATCTCACCCTGGGGCAATTAAGCCCCCCGCTATAAGAAATTACGAACATGTTTTTACGGGTTAGCCCTGTGTGTTAGTATTTTCTTAATTGTGTCACTTGATTTTGAAAACAACCTGTTTTGATATTTTTTAATAATGGAACTTCGGTCTCTCCCACTTTGACCAGTAAGGCAGTCTACGGTCATTCCTTTTCTGAGTAGCATATGCTGAGCTAGAAGCCAGCCATGCAGACAGACCTCATAGCTTCTTACTTACTGGGTTTCCATTCTGTTGACCTTTAGAAGCATAGCAGAGGGCTGATGAGAACAGTTTCTGGAGGCAGCCTGTTCTGTCTCAAATCAGTCCCCTTTCTCCCCTCGAATCACTTCCTGTGTGCCCCAGGCCCTACCTCCCAAGTGAGTTAATATGTGAGGAATTTCTGAATTACTCCTAGCACTTAGAAAGTGCATGGTAATTGTTAACTCTTATATCAACCACAAAAGGAAATATTTATGGGATGTCCTGAGGTATGGCAGAGTCTCCTGCCCCCGCGCCTGACTGTCCTCACCGGGGCCCCTTGGAGGAGGGTAGATTGAGTTTCCCTCTCCGCGCTGAGCAGAGCCCCGGCAGCTGAAGACCTCTGGGACCCAGCCAAAGCCTTGCTGAGGCCACTCTCCACACACTTGGACAAGGAACTGGCAGAGGAACCCAGATGTGCGGGACCTGGGGCTGAGATCTCCAAGCCTGCTCGGTTCGGGACAGGGCCTCCTTCACCCAGCTCCCCCACCTTCCAGTAGTTAGACAGTTACACCCACCAACTGTTGTGTAATCCCATCAATGGCCAGGATCCAGAGACTCTACAACCAAGCTCCAAGCATTTGCGGCCACGCGACCTCATATTCTCTAGTTCTCACTCTCAGAGAACCCGGCAGGCTACTGAGAGTATCATACCCGCCTATATGCCTGACTAGGAACACCTGTAAAGGTGATTAGAGGCTGCCCCAAAAGCTTCCATCCCTCTCAGAGAGCCCAGCAAGCTACCGAGAGTATACCACCCGCACGGCAGAGCCTGACAAGCTAACCGTGGCATACTCAATATGTCAAAAACAGTAACAATGAATGGTCCTCATTCCCCTGATCCTGAAGGAGCCCCCAATATGTCATTGGGCTACACCAGCACATGACAGGGACAAATGGAGATGTTACTGGGCCCGCTCGAGTGAATCGATGAACAACGGGGTGATAGTGGTAGTGATAGTGATAGTCATGAGATTTAACTAGAATAATGTCCAAGTGCTCATGATATGCACCCCATAAATTTTAATTCATAAAAATATAATGGATATCACCTCCCTGTCCCACCCTGATCTTCTCAGGAAACATTTTTATTTTAGTGTCGCTTGATGTCGAAGAAACAGCATTAATTGCTCGACAGAATTGCTTTTTTTTGTTGGGATCACATCTAACAATGCTCAGGGGTTACTCCTGGCTCTGCACTCAGAAATTACTCTTAGTGGTGCTTGGGGCACCATATGGGATGCCAGGGATTGAACCTGGGTCGGCTGTGTGCAAGGCAAGCACCCTCCCCACTGTACTATCTCTCTAGCCCCTCAACAGAATTGCTTTCTGAGTTATGTCTGCCTAGAAAGAGGCTTTTATTCGATTCTGAGCTCAGTGTACCCCCCCCCATATCCCAAGTCTCACCACTCTCTTCTTTTAGCTAAGTGATCCCACTTCTTTTGTTTCATTTCAAAGGAATGCTTCCTGGGGGCCATGGCTGCTGGTCATAACGTGGAAAGCTCCTAGGAGTTAACTGTTCACTCTAATCTTTCATCGTGCGTGTATTTTTATAGTAGGCTGGGGGCCAAACACAGAGTCACAGATTTCATTGAACTGTCAAAACACCTTCACAGGGATGGGTAAGTGAGGTGAGCAGAGTTCAGTTAGCAAAGGTATGCTGCTACATAGCCCCTGCCTCTGTAATAAGTGGGTGCCTAGAAAGGAGGGTTATTATCAGTACAACCAACACGTACTGTGTTCTAAGAGATGCCAGGCACAATACTAAGTTTTTTGGGGTTTTTTTTTGCTCTTTTGGGTCCACACCCAGGGATGCTCAGGGGTTACTTCTTGCTCTGCACTCAGGAATTACTCCTACCATATGTAATGCCGGGGATCAAACCCAGGTTGGCTGCTTGCAAGGCAAATGCCCTACCCACTGAACTATTGCTCCAGCCCCCAATGCTAAGGGTTTAAAAGTAGCATCTCAGGTACTCCTCCCTCATAGCAGCCCTAGAAGGTAAGTGCTTATGATTGCTATGTTTTAGCTGCAGTTTGACTGGATCATGAAACACTCAGTCATAAAAAGGGTCGTGATTTTGGTAAGGGGCATAATGCAACCTTTGTGGACTAACTGCAGAACCCTTACCCTTTCCCTGATAGATGCCTGAGCAAAAGTAGGGGCTGGACCAAGGACCTCTTGAGCTAGTAGGTCCAGGTTCCTGCTCAGTGGTGACCTGTTTCTCAAAGGAGCCTGGGGAATTCTTTCTGGCATTCTCATTGACAGTCACTGCACTCTCCACTAGAGCAGAATGTCTCTCTCCTCCCCAGCTTTTCATTTTTTTACTGGCCTTTTGTTTTGAGAAAATGTGACTGGGCCTGCTTAGCGTGCTTAGCGGGGAGGCGGAAATGCACCCCAGTGGCCAGCACCAGCCAGTTATTTTGGAGTTTCATAAAAGACCTAAGAGTCCTATTTCTCCCTCTCCCCACTGAAATGGAAGAAAACATTTTTATGCAGATGCATTATTTCTTGAGAGCTATATATGGAAGCAGTAAGACTGGCAAAGATTCTTAATAAAAAGAGTTCAAATTGGGAAATAGAAAGATATGTATGGCAACATCGTGTGTACATTTAGCTTAGATTATCTCTAAAGTCAGGGCTTAATCAGTGGCGGAGGTGGGGAGAGGAGGGGGTGTCAACAGTGAGCTGGGTTTGCTGAGTGTTGGAGGCCAGAATTGCACTTAAATTCCATTTCTTTGGCATGTCACAAGGTTGATTTTTAAAACTAGTTAATGGGGGGGGGGGAGGGGGAGAACAGCTTATCCTGTGAAAGAAGTGGAGAGAACAGATTATTTTCTTAGTGTTGAAGAAAACCATAGGAGACATTTAATTTAAAAAAGTGTTGAACGCACAGTCACCTTGTTGCCATATACTTAAATACATGTCCGTGTCCTTCCCTTGGCTTTCACCCGCAGCAGCTTATCTCAGAATTCTTTCCATTCCAGGTGTCGGTGCTCGGGTGCCCTGACCCAGCGGTACATGAGATCGCCTATCGATATGGGAAAAACGTGGGAATAGCTTTTCAGGTTTGCTTAGCTTCCTGTCTTAAGTGTGGGACGGTGGGTAGAGTGACCAATGTGCTGGGCTCAGGGCTTGGAGTTGACATCCTTTTTTTTCCTTCCTCTCCGCTAGCTAATAGATGATGTATTGGACTTCACTTCATGTTCTGACCAGATGGGCAAACCCACATCAGCTGACCTGAAGCTTGGATTAGCTACTGGCCCTGTCTTATTTGCTTGTCAGCAGGTAAGTTTGAGATTCCCTTTGGCACATGACTGTGTAGACCTTCTGGTCCAGCATCTTACCTGGCAGTTGATGGGAAGATTTGGATAAGAATATATGGAAAAGCATTTCTAGAAATAGACCACAAATGTAGGGGAGTTTTGTTGGGTGGTTGGTTGGCCATACTTGGCAATGCTGAGGGGCTACTCATCGCTCTGCACTCAGAATTTACTCCCAGTTGTGCTCGGTGGGCAATATGGAATGTCACTGATAGTAAGGCAAGTGCCTACCCTCTCTGTATTATCACTCCAGCCTCAAGAATGTAGGTTTCTGATCTGGAGCCAGTATAAGTTTCATATTCCAAACCTGGTGTTTCATCTATAAAACAAAGTATGGCCTTCATTCCTGGTTGTGAGCATTAATGGAGATCATTTTCACGCAGATACTTTACGATTATCTCCATGTATTTTGGGCATTGACAAGGTGAACAGTTTCTGCATCTTGATCATAGGACTGAATTGTGGGTGTATCTCAGAATCCCTTAGGGGAGCACAAGGACGGTCCTCCAAACAGTTATCTCGAAGGGCTGAAGTGCATACTTTGCATGCTGGAGCCCTGGGTTGGATCCCTGGCACACACCCCACCCTACAATAAAAAGAGATTCCGGTAAATCCTCTAGTTGTTTCAGAGTACTGCAGCTGCTCTGAGAAAGGTTTCTGAGTGCCCCAGGCACTGCCTCAAAATGTCAAGAAGTCAATGGGAAGCACAAACTCGCTAAAACCAGAGTTCCTTCAGATCGAAGGGCTGTCAAAGAAGGAAGTGAAGCTGCCTTTGTAGTCCCCTCACCGTGGGCAGAGGCTGAGGAAACTTCAAAGAGGCTGCAGTGATTTATCCAAAAGACCTCTCAGTGCTCACACTGTACTCTTGCCATGCTGCTTTTCACTGCCGAATGCTATTTGAACTAAGTGAAATATGGGCCTGGCACTAGGGTATCTTTTGTATAGATTTTTCACCTTCATAGTATGTAGTTTGTTATTTAGCAAGTAATAGTTTTATCACCCTGCCATGAAAGTAAAAAATTAACTCTATGGCCTAGAGTTTAGCTAATTTTGAGTCTTTCAGAGATTGTGCCTCTTATTTCTCAAAATTCACAAAGCTAAATCATGTCTTCCATAAAACTCAATGATCACATTTTAGTATTATAAAAGTCACTGAACTCTGCTTTCAACACTGTCCAGAAAAGCCAGAGCCAGGGTTATTCTTCTATGAGGCTGATAGCTTATAATCTGAGAGAGATTTTCTGTGTTATCATTTACCCACACAAAAAAGTGCTTATTTGTGAGCCCTGTAAATGGAAAGACATCCATGATTAGAAAGTTTAGTCATTGACTATCTCTACAACTATGAACATTAATCTGATTGATATTCAGACAGACTGACTAAGAAATGTGAGAGGTCAGGGAGACAGCTTAACAAACTGCATATGTAGAAGGCCAGGGTTCAGTCACTTGCACTGCATACGGTTCTTCCGAGCACTGCGAGCAGTAGCTCCTGAGCACTGAGTTGGGAGCATCTTTAAGTGAGATTCCCAACCAAATAGCAAAACAGGGCGAACCAAGTAAACTGAGGATTCTGACAGCTCTGTAAAAATTTTTTCAGCAGACTTTGAAGTTATCGCGATGACTAAATAAAGAAGTTTTTCCCAAAAGAATTATGACTTGTTGCTAAAAAGTTGTAACGGTCACAAGCCCATAATACTAAGTCGCCCCATAATATTAAGTCAAAGTTTATTCTTAATTTAACCTTACAATGATTAGTTGAAAATAGATGCCTTTTCTGATTACATTTTGCTATGAACATACTTCAAGAGAATTTACTTTCCTCTACACAAAAGGAGTAATGGACAATTCTACTCTTAGATACAGTGGGGCAATTGGGGAATTGGATCATTTCTTCATACTGATTTTTCCAATAGCTGACAAGACTGAAAATGCTGGTTTAAGGGGAAAAAAAAAGTAGCAAGGAAGAGGAACAAAGGTTACAAAGTTCCCTTAAGCCAGTTTTATGGGTGCTTCACTGGGAAATCCCAGCATCATGAGGCACACTCTCACCCTCACAGACATATACTATTCCCATCTGTCTAGAAAGCAATGGGGAAAGGAGTTAAAAATCTCACGTTGCAGTCTTAGAAAAGGGAACACAGAATGAAGGCTGAACAGAAGTGACTCTGGACAGGATTTGTTTCCTAAGCTGACGGATTCGTCAGTCCTTAATCAAAGACGTATTTATAAGTTGTTTCCTGATAAATTAAGTGTAGGCTCTGTTATGGGATTACATTGTCAAAAAAAGAATTCTTGGCCAGAAATTCATCAAAAGATTTATGAAGCCTGACTTCCAGTAAAACAAGTTCCAAAAATAATATGACAATGCAGTTTTCATAATTTGTCACTACTGATGTTGACTTTTAAAAAAATTGTTTATTTTATAAACTAGTACCAGCTAAGTTTGTTTGATTTCCCCAGTAAATCTCCCACAGAGCAAATAATTGTATGACTTGGTACTGGAAATGTTCTGCTGACGACTTTCAAAAGTCTGTTCACGTACTTTGTGATGAACCTATCAGCCAATTAGTGAAATAATCATAGACACTATTTTTTTCTACCAGTGACTTTTGTTTCGTGATTTCGTGATACAGACTGAATCTTCCTATTTGTAACATAGGGTACATTAGACTAGACATTCCATAAGAGAAGCCATATTGGGATATCACTTTCCTTTATAAGTATGGATGAAGGGTTTTCTTGAAATTTGCTGGACCCAGCAACTCAACAGAAACTGTCCTGTTGGGAATTTTGCCATATTTTGTTTAGGGCCATCGAATGAATGGTTCTTGGGGGACGAAGGTGGAACCTGGGGTTGCACATGCAAAGCATGCATTCCAGCCTTTTCAGCCATTTATCCAGCTTGGAATTCACGGTTTTTGACCACTGTCTCACCAGGTTTTTTGACTAATGATTAGTAGAAAGAACTTAAGTTTCTGGGATTCTAGATAAGTCCTGGGGATGGCAGCATCTCCCCATGTGTTTGCGTACACCATTTTTGTCAAGGATAAAAATCTTTTAAACCCTTAAACAGTATATTGGTTGGATTTTGAAATCTTAAGAAACAAACCGAAGTGCTTCTTCTTGTGTGCCAGTGACTGCATTTTCAAATATCCTTTAAAAGAACTTTCCTGTCTTCAGCTGCTTCTCTTTCCTTTGATAAGTCAGCAAACCCAAATGTCAGCCTATTGCCGCATTTCCAACTGCCATCACCAGCCCCTGCACCAGCTGTGCAGGCTTCTGCTATTGTTGTGACTCTAGCTGGTGCTTCCTTCCGAGCAGGCCAGGTTTGGCTTGAATCAGCACACTGCGATTTATTGATCACACTGCAATTTATTGATCACCTCTATTGAGGGAGGGATCGTACTGTTGGTGTGGATTTTCTACTTTTGAAAACAGACCCTAGGCAAACCAAAATTTGCTTTTTCTCACTAAATCTGCAGTCAAGCAGCTATTCTGTGCCTGTTCTTTTTTTTTTTTTTTTTTCATAAACACCCAAAGTGGGCAGGGGGAGGTTGTGCCTACTGGAAGTTGATATTTGCATATGGAAATTGCACACACTACATGTTTCAAAAGAAGGATGTAGGCACACTTGAGGCAAGGTTTTTTGTTTCCTTCAAATTTTGCTTTCTCAGTGCCCTTTTAAGGATTCAGAGAAACCACCCACCCATTCAGCACATTTTACTGCACTTCTTGGTATTATAGAAAATTCATGACTTTATCAGATAAACAGGTGAATATCGTAGCAGTTCTGAGGATTTATCCTATTTTGAAAATTTGGTGATAAAAAATAAAAGGCTACTTTGATTTTCTTTTTATACCACTAGGATTAATTTATGCTTTCCTACTTTGTTTCTTGTATGACTTCTTTGTTTTAGTCTCAAAAAGGCATGTTATTGGGCTAGAGTGCTAGAGTGAGTAGTGTTTGTTTTGCATGTAGCCAACCTGGGTTCCATCCCTGACAACACAGATGGTTTCCTGAGCTCCCCCAGGAGTGATCCCCGAGCACAGAGCCAGGTGTAGACACTGAGCCCAGCTGGGTGAGACCCCAAAACAGAATAAAACAAAAAAAGACCTCGTATTCATGGAAGAACCAACCAGTTACTGGCGCTTTAAACTTTGTACGCATATTAGAAATCCCTCATTTGTTCTTACACATACTTTGCTCTGAAGGAACTTTCTTAATTTCTCATCTGCCATCATCTGGTGGAGGTTTTTCTTTTCGAGTTTTTTAGAGACCTTTGTTTATTGAGGCTCTGGGATTTGTAACACTGTCAATCATACTTTTCAAGCATACATCATTCCCCCCAAAGGCCCTCCTCCCTTGGTGGTTTTTCTGTACGTCCCATGTTTCTCTCTAAGATGACTAATACCAAGGGCTACTGGGCATCGTCATTCATCCTTTAGGCTCACAACTGGGAAAAACTGACAAGAGCTATAAGCACTAAGACTCTGTGGTACTGTCTTACCTGTCCCGGAACCATAAGCAGTTAGAAGTAATGGATTTTGGATCCAGTGGTTCAGAGCTCCCTTGAGTCAGAAGAGGCTGGATGCAACCAGTTCAAGAGCTCTCTCAGCCGAGGCAACACAAGCACTAAATCTGGCATCTAGATCATGACACCATGTCCTGGCTTCCATTGTGTTATTGTGATAACTCTCCTAAAATTTTAAGTATTTTAGAATATAGATTTTTTATCTTCAGTGTATTTTTTGTTTTAAATCTCCTGTGACCATTAGTTTGACCTCAGTCATTGTTTCGAGGCCACAGCCAGAAGTGTTTAGGGCTTATTCCTGGCTCTGCACTCAGAAATCACTCCTGGCAGGCTTGGGGGACCATAGGGGTGCCTGGGATCAGACCCGGGTTGGCGGCATGCAAGGCAGGCACTCTACCCACTGTGTTCTCTCCGGGCCTGGCCTTAATCCTTATTAACTCACTACAGTAATCTGCCTAACATCCTGTACCTCCACCTCTTCTAAATGCTTTCAGCTGTGGCTACACATAAAAAACCTGAAGGGTGAGCTGGAAAGAGAGTACCATGAGTAGGCTTGCCTCGCACACATCCAATCGAGCTTCCATCCCCAGCACTCCATATATGGTTCCCCCAAGTACCACCATAAGTGATCCCTGATCAGAGCCAGGAGTAATTCCTGCTCATGGCCACATGTCGCCCCAAAACAAATTGGTGCCCAGGACAAGCTTCAAGACCATACTTAGGACATTTGAGATCCAGTCGGCAGTTGTATCATGAACCTCAAATGACCCCAGAAGGTACTGACCGCTGTGCTGAACACTGCTTAGGCCCTTCAAGCAGCTACTAGGGCCGACTTACATGCACAATGATCTCTGCTCAGAAACCTCAATTGTTTTCAAGTGTCACTGTTTAGTACTAGAAGTAGACCTCATTCCCAGGCTTTCTCTAGGTAAGGAGGTTTCAAACTGCCATTGGAATCAGTATTTCCTGGGAACTTGTTAGAAATGCACTCAGGGCCCGAGAGCTAGTACAACAGGATGAGGTTTGTCTTGTATGTGGCCAATCCAGCTTCTATCAGGCCCCACATAAGGTCCTCTTGAGCATCAGCTAGAAAAAGACTTGTGCACATCAGGACAGGGCCCCCTCCCTTTCTGATTGTGCGCCACCCCCTTCTCACCTCCTCACCGCCCCAGCTCCCCTCCCCCCCCAGCCAGTTCCCTGCTCCTGCCAGAAATGTCTCTTGGAGGCCCAACAGTCTTCTGGTGAGTAACTCGAGTGCATTCTGAAAGTCTGAATATGAGAAGTCAAGAGGAATATTTGTTCCTTCTCTTTCTTACTCATCATTGGATCAAGGATAGAGATCATGAGACTAAGAATCTGTCTTACCCAGATGAGTCATGAGTAAGCTGCCTCTTCTGTGAACCAGCTTAGTGCCTGGACATGGAAAATGGTGTCTTTTAACTGTGCTTGCTTTTTTTTTTTTTTTTTTGGTCTTGTTTGGGGGTTACTCCCAGCTGTCCCCAGGGCTTATCCTGATTCTGGCTCCAGGATTAAACCCAGGTTGACAGTGTGCAAACCAAGCACCTTACCTGCAGTACTCTCTCTCCCCAGCCATGCTATGCTTCTTTGTTACACTCTGCTCTCTTGGTCAAACTCCCCCCACACCTCCCCTCCATGGTTACATTCGTTACAAACTACTTTACAATTCTCTCAAAAATAATTTGTGTGTGTGATTAGTTCCCAGAAATGAATGCAATGATAATGAGACGGTTCAATCTACCAGGAGATGTGGACAGAGCTCGACAGTATGTATTACAGGTAAGACTGTTTTAAAGAAAAAAGGGTAACTGCAAAACAGTGACCCTAAGTTCTTTAGCCAAGTAATGTGACATTCAATTATAAACTATAAAAATCTTGAGTTGAAAGGAAAAACTTAGAAAATTCACTTTTCTTCTAGATTTCTTCTCAAAGATTCTAATTAGTCTTGAGTAGGCCTACCTACTTCTCATGTGTAGTCAGGATTGACATCTCATTTTTCCAGTTTCGTTTTGGGGCTACACCCAGTGATGCAAAGGCATTACTCATGGCAGTTATCTTGGAGGGACCATAAGGGATACCCCACATCCAACTAGCAGCAATTCTCCCAGGCACCCAGACTAGTCTAATACTGCAGGCCATATGCTTGTTAGGACCTGGTTGAACTCTTCCTTCCTGTCCTGAGACTACTACACTGGTCTTGGAATGAATTAAAGAAATGCCAGTTTTGTTCCATATAACTGCTATAAAATCATGACTTAATTTAAAAACAGATCAAGCCAACAAGGCAAACTAAGCTTGTCTGATGCTATTCAGATGGTTTAATATTACATCAAATATACAGCCTGCACATCTTCAAAACTTTTCAGTGAAAGCTAATGCTTCTGGCATATTTTCACTTTTAATGATTGTCTTTTCACAGTGAACTGTTGATAAAATCCAGCCATCTGGAGCCCATTCAGTCATATGAATGAGCTGGTGCTAACATACGTAAGGAGAAGTGGTCGGAGATCTATCCTTAGTACACTACTTAGAATTTCAAGCTTCCCTTTTAGATTTTTTTAATTTCAAAAAAGCAAAACCACTCCAAAGGACATATTTTATTTCTATACTGAGCATCATAATTTGCTTTGAATTACCAATTTCTGAGGGTTATTTGGCAATACTAGTAAATAAAACTCAATATTGAAGATATGTGGGACCTTTGATTTGAGATCCAGCAAAAAAAAAAAAAGAAGAAGAAGAAGAAATTCAGTATAAGCGGGCATTATAGTTGTTAAGGATATATATCTCTGGTCTGGAAAGGGTGTGTTTTCAGAAATAATAGTATTATTAAAGGCTGAAGTGATAATTGGGATTCTAAAAGGGTAACAATTATAGCTCATATGCAAAACAAATTCTAACTAACAAGCACAGAAAAAAAATTTACAGGAATGGTTTCTAAACAAATTCTGAATAAAAACCTCAAAATTCTAGTTCCTTCTTCATCGAGATGTCCTACTCCCTCATTAAATGATCAGCTACAATTTAAATAGGATTACTGAGGGTGAATAAAATGACTGCACGTCAAAGTGAGATTAAATAGGGGGATTTTACAACACCCAAAAGGAGAGAGAGAACAAAAGGGAATGCCCTGCCACAGAGGCAGGGTGGGATTGGGGGGGATGGGTGGTGGGAGGGATACTGGGATTAGTGGTGGTGGAAAATGGGAACTGGTGGAGGGATGGGTACTTGATCATTGTATAACTGAAACCCAAGCACAAAAATTTGTAAGTCTACAACTGTACCTGATGGTGTTTCAATAATAAAATTTAAAATAAATAAATAAATAGGGGGATTTTTCAAATACTGCATTTAGGCCAGGGATATAGCTTGAAAGAGCTGCACTGAATGTTTTGCACGCAGGCATCCCTAGCATTTTACAACCCCATGTGCATTGCCGGGAGCAATTACCAAATACCACAGGGTGACTTCAAAAGCAGCAAATATACTGCATTCGTAGAATAGGGAAGTGGGAACTCAGCAATGCTTAGGGCTTACTCCTGGCTCTGTGCTCAGTGATTATTCCTGGCAGTGCTCAGGGATCTTAAGTAGTGCCAGGAGTTGAATTTAGGCCAGCTTCGAGCAAGGCAAAAGCCATACCTCCCGTACTATTACTTCAGCTCCAGAGTAAGATAGTTTTTAGAACAGTAAGAACAAAAATGAAAAAAAAATTATTATAGAAATCTCATTTCAAATTGTTAAGGTGTGTATTTGAGTAAATCTTAAAAAAAAAAAAGTATACAGCAAGGGAATAAAGTAAGAAAAATCCTCAAAACAAAAGCCCTCAAAACAATAAATGAAGTGATTAAACCAAAGGGCCAGATTTTTTTTTTTTTTTGAGCCACACCTGGGGGAAATGCTCAGGAATTACTCCTGGCAATGCTGAGGGTTCAATGCTCAGGATGCCTGGGATAGAACTCAGGCCAGCCACGTGCAAGACAAATGCCTATCCACTATACTTTGTCCTGAATCTAGAATTCTGTAACCACAGTCAAAAAACCATCACTAAATATAAATGCAATTTTTTTTTCTTTTTGGGTCACACCCGGCAATGCACGGGAATTATTCCTGGTGGTGCTTGGGGGACCATATGGGATGCTAGGGCGAACCCAGGTCAGCCACATGCAAGGCAAATGCTCTACTCGCCGTGTTATAGCTCCAGTTCCCACAGTTCTTACCTAATAACTAAAACCTGATTTCCAAGGATTTAATAGGTCATAAGGATTCCTAGACATGGGAAAAGCCTGTTGAAAAATTAAAAGACTGGGGAGGAAGCTAAAAGGTCTGCACAAGGTCTTAAGTTTAAGCTCCACAGTACAGGTTTCCCAACTACCACAGATATAACCCTTCTGGTCTCCAGTGCTATGGGGTCCAAGAAGCACTGCATCATTGGGCCCAAGCACTGAACTCTCAGCCAGTACAGCTGGATCACCATGAGAGTCCCTCCCTCTCCCCTATTAGGAAAAGATGACTTTGTAGATATATTTCAGTAAAAATGTGTGTGGAAATACCAGAAAAATGTAATGGACTAAAGAGGTCAATAAAAAGCCATTTTAGCTTGCAGCTGAACATGCAAGCACTAGAAAAGTAAGTAATGAATAGAATTGATTAAGGCAATGGAAATTATAGGGATCAGGAGCTCCTTTCCCAGAGAGGGTAATTCATTCAGAAGCGGGCTTCTGTCCAAGGCACGGAAAAACTAGAATGTGTCATATTGTGAGTCACAGTTTATGTCAACTGGTGGAGAAAATCAAAGCCTTTCACCAATAATGTTAAAAATAAGTCTTATTTAGAATAACAGGATTCATGAATGATGAAATCGAAACCACTGAGAAGAAAACAAAATTATAGGTATATGGCTTGATTCTGTAGTTACCATGCTTATGTCATGGAAACAAGTTCTTGTTGGTTTTTGTTTTGGAGGTTATATCCAGCTATGCTCTGTGCTCAGAGATCACTCCTAGTGGGAATTGAAGGAACATATGGGGTGCCAGTGACTGGACCTGGCCAGGGTCAGCTGCATGCAAAGCAAGCACCCTACCCTTGAGCCCCATTCCATTTTTTTTTTAATGTTTGGATTTTTAGAAGAACCAATATTATCTTGGACATTTAAGCTCATGAGGCCCTGGGTTCAGTACCCCACATCAAAAATAAATTTTAAAAAAAACTGTTACAGGGTAGAATGTAAATATCTCTTATGTACAGGTGTAGATACGTGAAAAGAAGCACTAGTATCTTCATCTTATGCAAGAGAAACTGATGCTACAAAACAATGGCACTGTCAAAGGAACTACAGGCCATGATATAATTATGATGGGACCAGAAATACGGCTAAGGTGGCAAAAGGCCAGGCCTACTATTCCCAACTGGGCAATGCCAGGTGGCCTCTGAACTACTGTGCTAAGTTTGAGAAAATTGACACAGAAGAAGCATGTAATTTGTATCTTAAAATGATCTTATCAGGAAGCATAGAAAAATAATAAATTAAAAACTAAGGATAAGGATATTGCTCAGATGTAGAACATAGTAAGTGAGGAGTTGGAGCTGGTCTGCAAAAAAACAGAGCTGAAGGATAGGCGGAAACAATGTTCTTGTAAACTGTTCTGTACTTTCATGTTACAGTATATGTATATGTTAAGCTTTTGTATTTCTTCCTTAAAATATATTTCAATATCTAGAACTTCTTTGCCGCTGATACTAAGACTGGTTACTGAAACAGTTGATTTGCATAGTAATAGAGTAAATATAGCTTTAATGTGAAAGAAAAAACATTTAGAAAGAAGGCAAAAGATGTGAAGAACATTAGAACACTATTTTAACTATTTGGCTATTTTAACTATTGGCTATTTTAACTCATCTCAAAGTATTCTAATTCATAAGAGAGCAAGAATTTAAGAGCTGATTCAATGGATGACCTGTTTTGTTTTTTATCCTTCAGAGTGATGGTGTGCAACAAACAACCTACCTCGCCCAGCAGTACTGCCATGAGGCAGTAAGAGAGATCAGTAAACTTCGACCATCCCCAGAGAGAGATGCCCTCATACAACTTTCAGAAATTGTGCTCACAAGAGATAAATGACAACAATTTGCTACTTCTGGCAGCTATTTTACCAGACTGTGCCTAAAGAATTTTGTGGAATATATGTTGCTTCATGTGCAGATAACCAAAAATCACTTCAAAAATCATTTCAACCCTTATGATGGGCAATTTTTTTATTGATAAATTTTTTCAGAAAACTTTTTAAATGTCATTAAACCATCTGAATCTGTCTAGTCCTAGAAATTCAAATCGCTATCTTGTGGGTTTTATGTGGTATTGTTTACACTGTTAATATCCACATGTAAAGCCATTACACAAATAAATAATGTTAAAATTCAAATGGTTTATCTCTTTATCATGGAATAAAGATCAGAAAATGGACAGATCTACATTTCAGTCCAATTAGATTTTAACAATATCCAAAACTGAATATAGGAGACTGGTTTATTATAAAAGACTGTACATAAAATTTAGACACCAGGTTATATACAAAAGAGAACATTTCACTGGAAAAAAATTAAAGTAGCTAGTTGAACACTAGTGATAATGAAATCATGTTTACAGTTAACAAAGGCAAAATGCATATGCATCAGTCACATTGATTTTATAGCAATAATGGTCTTTAATTTTCAGAAATAAATTTCTGCACTATTCTTACCACTTACTATGCTTTTTAAGCCTGTAACACTCAGTACATGACTGCGATTTGAAATCGAAACAAATCCTCAATACACAGAAACCCACAATTGAGTGCTCTACTTTAATATTCTAGGCAATAAAGAATTATACATAAAATAAGAAAACATCCCTCTAAACCTCCCTTAAATTAAGAGGAGACACACAAAGTGCATGTGTTGCATTTCAATTACGTCAAAAGACAATACAAATCTGTTGGTCAGATATATATTCCTCTTTATTGATTTAATACATGACCCACCTTTTCCCCAACTATTTTATTTTAAAAATCTTTTTGTTGCTAGTGCCAGATAATGGATTAAATAGTGCCTGTTCAAAGATCAATTGCATTCACTTGTATAAAACAATATGTAAAAGAATTATAATTTCCTTTCATTGGACCAATATACAACAGTCCACTGAAAAACTTGAGGAATTGCTTAACCACAGCAATACTTAAGATTTTACTTACAGAATGTGCACACTTTGACACATTTTCTTAGCTTTGAAAAAGTTACTTTAGAAAAGAAATTCAGTAGATTGACTTGTAAATAACCATTCAGATTTTAAATCTGCAAAATCAGTCACATTGCTGTTGGGACAGTGAGATAAGGCTAAAATGTTTTTCCAAGTTAATATATTGAGAAAATAGAACCATAATTCTGCAATAAATCAGTATCATTTATTCCTTTTTTTTTTAAAGCAAACCAGTGAAGGAAAGGACAAAAACCTTTGGTTCACTTATATATTTATGAATGGAAAAAATTTATAATGCAAATTCACTCATTAAAAAACTTAGGTACAAATTACAACATTACAGATAACCCTTTGTTTCACATGGAGACCTTAGAGACTCAATTCATTTCAAGAGACCTCAGTACAAATACTCTCAAGTATTACACAAATTGTAAGCATCTTGGATTTTTTAAAGTATATTTCATTACATGAATTTGTATGCATGCTTTAAACAAATAGTATATTTGAAGAATCAGAGAATCTAAATAAAAGTATGACCAGCACCAGCTTTTAAGTTTTTTGATTTTAATATTAGTTTGACATAGCATTAGTAACCATGCTGCACTGAACATGTAAATGGTACAATCTGAATCATGATTTGTTAAATATTATACCCCACACCCCCAGAATATTTAGGCTGGTCATAAAGTTAACATTATGTAAGTATATTAAGCATAATCAGTTATGGACAGTGTCTGTGTAAGTTGCTATTTAGCAATACAGAAACTGCCTCAAAGATTTATGCTTACAGGTAGACATTCAATTATACCAATAAAACAGCATGTCCTGAAAATATGGGCGCATTTTAAGACAATTCTGTTAACCATAATAGTCCCACAGCATGACACAGTAATAATAACCTACTTTTAAAGCAAAAGTTTAATCAGCATAGTGCATGATTGATTCTACATAGTTCCCAGGGAACAAACCAGTCACTCGATTGCAGACTCCTTCATACCATCCATCATCGTTCTTCTTTATTACATAAATGATTGCACCCTCTATAAACGATAGCTCATCATCCTTGTCTTTTGTGTAATCATATATTGCCACAACTAGAAAGAAAAGGGTAGAGATATTACAAGAGTGTACTATAACCAGTATTCAATCACATTTAAATTCAATGCTAATAAAAATAGTATTAACAACCAACTACACATATGAACAGTGTTCTCACATTAATATAGGTAAGTAGTATCTTGTTCTTAGGGTCAAACTGGCAATTCAATCAGATTAGAGATATCAATAGCTTCTACAATCCAGGAGAGATCTTGAAATTTTAGGATTTATTAGTTTTTTTCAATTAACTTATTCAAATATCTGCTAAGCTCCCACCATACTCAAAACACCAATTTCTTCCAAGTAACCATCAGGCAATGCTGCTTAGTTAATTAGCAAACCAGGCAACAACTCATATTGTGTAACTTGATTTTTCTCGTTGTTTTTCACTTGGAGCCATGCTCAATAGTTGTAGGCCTATTCCTGGCTCTGTGTTCAGGCATGACTCCTGATGACACCCAGGAGCCCTGATGTGCTGCCAGAAATTGAACCAAGGTCAGCCGAACACAAGGCCAGTGCCTTACGGCTGTGCTTTAGCTCTCCAGTCAACTTGCCAATAAGCCACTGGCAGGTAAAGCATACATCCTACTCAACCCAACAAAGAGTCATGTGAATGTAAGTAGTACAGGGGTATGCCTAGATCACCCTTGACCCCAGAATTCAGGGAGAAAGACAGATTAAAAGTAATCAAGGGGGAGAGGAAGAGATGAGAAGAAAAGTAATAGAGAACAGGGATCAGGGCTCTGGTTATACTGGTGAGGTGGGAGAATGCTATAGCTAATGTATCAAAGCATAGACTCGGTAACACTGAAAACATGAGATCTAACCACTGAACTTTGTAATGCTGCCTGGCAAGGTGGCAGGTAGGATGGAGAATTGAAGACTTGTGGGGGGAAGTTGACACTGATGGTGGAACTGGCATCATATGCCTAAAACTCAACTATCAGTAACTTCATAAATTATGTTTAACTTTTTTAAGTTTTTAAAAATAAAGATACTAATTTAATTTATGGGGCTATGTCTAGGACTTTAAAAAAAAAAGAATAATTATACGATAAGGTCAGTAGGACTTTAAAAAGGAGGTCACCACATAAGTGGAAACCCATTAACTAAAATTCAAAAGAACTGTCTGGCAATTCTAAGGTATTCATGATTCTTTTTTGTTTTGCTTTGTTTTGGCTTGGCGGCCATACCTGGCTGTGCTAAGGACTTCCTTCTGGCTCTGTGCTGAAGGATAACTCCTGGCAGAGCATGAGTTACGATATGGGGTTCCAAGGACTGAATCAGGTCAGCCATGTAGACAAGGGCCCAACACACTCTACTCCTCTGTACTGTATTTCCAGATCCCAATTCATGATTATTCTGAGTTCAAAATATTTCCTTCCTTCCCAGTGTTGTAGAAGAGAAAGGCTTCAGAACAGTCCTCATTTTTCAAACTACTGGTTTATGTAGTAGTGGTAGTAACAACTGGTTAATTACTCCATTTTCTTTTTAGAACGTAACATGCATTATAATTTCAGTTCTGAAATTACATGTCATATTCTGGTTTTATGTAAAATAATGTATGGTATAATTTTTTGTGTATATACCTTGTTTGACCTTTTCTTAAAATACTGAGTTTTTAAGACACTTAAAGATCCAGGGACTTATATTTTTCCTTAAGGAAGGTGTATTCTCTTCCAATGATTATTCTGAATTATATTACAGAAGAATTCTGACCTCGGGAGATACCTGATTAATCCATATCATCACCTGCTAAATTAAGATAGGCCATTGTCCTGTCCTTTACAAAATGCTTCACTAAAGTGAACTCAACAAATCCATAAACCTCCATTTTAATTCTGAGACAGGATTTGAGATAGTATTGAGATTATGAGGTCAACAACATCAAATTTCAAAAAAACTTCAAAACATAAATATCAGATTATCACCTTGTTATTTTTAGCTAAAAAATTCTGTCCCAAAATTGAATACTTACTAGAGACAAACTCATAGGAAATTGAACAGTGTAATAATAAACATCAGTTTTGTAGCACAGTCCTCCCTTTGTTCATGGGTTCTCTTAAGTGGGCACCAGTAATGTCTCCATTGTGAGACGTTGTTACTGTTTTGGCATATTGAATATGTCACAGGTAGCTTGCCAGGCTTTGCTGTGCGGGCGAGATACTCTCGGTAGCTTGCTGGGCTCTCTGAGAGGGGCAGAGGAATCGAACCTGGGTCGGCTACGTGCAAGGCAAGCACCCTACCTGCTGTGCTATGGCTCCGGCCCAACATCAGTTTTATTATGTTTAATTTGTTAAAATTAATTTCTTTGTATTTAGAATCACACGGCCTTAAAATAAGTAGTAGTATAGATCAGATATTTTTAAACATTTTCCATTTGTGGACCCCCCCCCGTGCCTGAGAAATGCAATACTAGATAGAGAATACTGTCAAAAAGACATGGTGGGGGGGTTGGAGCGATAGCACAGCGGGCATGGCATTTGCCTTGCACGTGCAGCTGACCTGGGTTCGGTTCTCAGGATCCCATATGGTCCCCTGAGCACCGCCAGGAGTAATTCCTGAGTGCAAAGCCAGGAGTAATCCCTGAGCATGGCCGGGTGTGACCCAAAAAGGGGGAAAAAAGAAAAAAAAAAGACATTGGGATTCACTGTGTATTGGATTTTGAATTAATACTTGGTGGTTAAGCCTTCAAAATACTTTTACAGTTGCTAAATTCCTTACAACTTCACATTCAGTCATGTGACCCCTGGTCGGTCACACCCACAGTTTCAGAAGCTAAGACAATGTTCTTTAACCTTTCTACGCCTGTGGATCAGCAGCAGCCACGTATCAATGATTAAAGATCACTGAGCTAGGGTACAGATAAACTGATCATGACAAAGCTGTGATACTCTCAGACTTTCAGAAAAATGAAAATTTGTTTCCTCATGTTCTTAGCTCCCCCAATAAGCCAGTAAAAAGTACAACTGTCCAACTCATGTTTCCATTTTCCACATTCCCTTTATAATTAAAATTTCCACCCTAGGGGCTGGGGCAATAGCACAAACAGTAGGGCGTTTGCCTTGCACGCTGTCGACCCAGATTCAATTCCCAGCATCCCATATGGTCCACCGAGCACCGCCAGGAGTAATTCCTGAGTGCATGAACCAGGAGTAACTCCTGTGCACCACCAGCTGTAACCCAAAAACCAAAAAAAAAAAAAAAAAAAAAATCCCACCCTATTTCTTCTCCCCAAATGAATTTTCTCTCCTATACTAATTCTTACTGTAGGGAAGAAGGGGAGAAGGGGGAGAGAGGGGTGAGGGGAAAGGGAAGAAAGGTGGGAAATGCCTGCTATAGAGGCAAGCTTGGGGGGGAGGTTATGGGAAGGAAACTAGTGACACTGATGCTAGGAAATGTACACTGGTGGAGGGATGGGTATTGGAATACTATATGACTGAAACCTAATTATGAACAACTTTGTAGAGATCTCACAGTGATTCAATAATAAAATCTTTAAAAAGTTCAATGTACATACAACTTTCCAGAATCCAAACTGATATAAGGAGCTAAATTCTACCATCTGCACATATTATGCGTTAAACCTTAAATCTAATACTCTATTCCTACTTTAACATAACAAAAAATATAAACATAAATACTTCATACCCCTGAAATCTTTTATTCGATTAGAAATACAACATTGGGCCAGAATAAAACAACAGGTATGGCACCACACATAGTCCCCCAAAGCCCCACCAGGAGTGATCCCTGATCTTGGAGCCAGGAGTAAGCCCTAAGCACCACTAGCTGTGTCCCAAAATTAAAAAAAAAAAAAAAAGAAAAATACAAAACCAAACAATAACTTACAAAACAATTAGAACTTACTTATTTTCACTGAGAATCTGTCATGTCATATTATTAACAAAGCCAACTAAAAGTCAAACCAGTTTTTGTATTGTGGCTATAAAGGATTTCATTGAAGACTTTGCAATAACAATAATAGATCTTAGATTTCTTTCTTCTTTTTTGTTTTGGTTTTTGGCCCAGAGCTGGTGATGCTCATGGGTTACTTCTGGCTCTGTACTCAGGACTCCTGGTGGTGTTCAGGAGTCAAACCCAGGTCATCCGTGTGCAAGGCAAACACTGTACTACCCTTTCTGTTCAAAACTTTTTATTGATACAAAGCCACCTCCATACATCTGTGTACTGTCTGTGGATGCTATTGTACAGTCTATTGAGTAGTGATGAAAAGAAACTATAAGACTGGAAACATTTAAAATATTTATTATCTGGTCTCATAAAAAAAAAAGTGTAGCATCTCTGGCTTAAGGCTCATTACTGCAATTTGTGAAATGATTCTTCAGTCCTGCATCTATCATTCCAAATTCATCAATGTATATAAATGTAATAGTCTCCTTTGCAACTGCTTTTCAAGTCAGGAAATAACAGGTTATGGGGCCAGAGAAACAGCACAGCAGAGAAAATAATAGTTTAGGGGACAGAGAGCTAGTAGAGCAGGTATGCTTGCCTTGCACACGGCTGCCCTGGATTTGACCCCCTGGCACTCCAAATGGTCCCCTGAGCCTTCCAGGAATGACTCATGAGTGCAGAACATAAGTAACTCCTAAGCACCATCAGGTGTGGCCCAAAGACCCATAATTGAGACTACTTAAAATTGGCATTGTACATATATGATAGCCTTTCAATACCTGTATTGTAAACCACAGAGCTTAAGAGGGGAAATGGGGAGAGAGGAGGGAGGCGGGGATTGAGGGACCGAAGAAAAAAAGTGTCTGCCACAGAGATAGGGGGCAGGAGGAGGAAAACGGGACACTGGTGGTGGGAAATGTACACTGGTAAAGGGAAGGGTGTTAGAACACTGTTATGACTGAAACCCAATCAAGAACAATCGTGTAACTGTATCTATTGATGATTCAATTTTTAAAAAGGGAAAAACATTGTCACTGTACATACACAATTGCTTAAAGTGAGAACTTAAAGTAAAATACTCAAGACTTTCTGAACAATATGTAACTGTTAAAAAAAGAAAAAAATTTCTTTTAGCACTTACTCAAAATATGGGCAGGACAAAAATGTCATAGACCTCTACTAAATATCCACTAATAAAAAAAAAAGACCAATAAAAGGAAATATATATCAAAGGTGATCATGTGATCAATTAAATTATAAGCATTTTTTCCCTAACTCAGAGAAAAAGTCTTTAAAATACCACAGAATTGGGTGGAAAAAGCTGATAAACTTAATAAAAAAAAATTTGCTTGTTTTCCACCCACTACTTTCTGATAATTGTAAGTAACAATAGATTACTGTGATAAGTTTGGATGTCAGGAGTTATATATAATTTTATGAAGTGAAAGATTATCTTCTCTTTTATAATTACCTAACTGAAAACATTAATTTAATGGCTTTTTCTTATAGTAATCAAAGTATTTTAAAATTTTTAGATATAAAGTTTCCAATTATTTTAAGGATATATATATATATATATTTTTTAAACCTTAACTGTTTCATTTATAAAATGCAGGAGTGAGCCCAGGGCCAGAAAGATAGTACAGCTAGTAGGGAGCTTGCCTTGCTCTTGGCAGACCCAGGTTCGATCCCCAGCAACCATATGGTCCTCAAGCCTGCCAGGAGTGATTCCTGAGAGCAAAGCCAGGAGTAGTTCCTAAGAACAGCTGGGTGTGGCCCCAAAACAAAAACAAATTAAAAGAGCAAAAAAAGGGAAAGAAAAAAGGCAGGCACGCCCTTGCCTTGCAAGCTGCCAACCCAAGTTCAATCCCCAACACCACATACGGTATTCCAACACAACCTTCAGTGAGTCCTGAGCAGAGTCAGGAGTAAGCCCTGAGTACTACTGGGTGTACCCTGCTCCCACATCCCCCTCAAATTTAGCATGCAAATTACTCTCCAAGTCATTTTAAATCACGTCATTGTAAATCATGTCATCTTAAACATTGTAATATACATTAATTAATGAAACTAAGAAAGAATTCTCCCTTTACATGGGAAAGTAAAGGGGAAAATGTTTAATTAAATCATCTTGGCTGGTAAGAGTATTCAAAAGGTTGAAAAACACTGAACTGGGTATTCTCCACAGTTCTAAAATTCTGCAATTAGGTTACCTTCATTTGTATCAACTTGGTGGCTGTACTTACCTTTCTCAATATAATTTTTAGGAGCCCAAGCAGGATCCCCATCTGCATATGGATCATTGTACTGAACTACTGCAGCCTCTTCATCTTCATAATCCACTGGAGGTGGTGGTGGCGGAGGTGGAGAGTCATCAAACATGGGAATATCATCTGGTGGAGGTGGTGGTGGTGGTGTTGGACTATCAGCAACTAAAAAAATTCAGGTAATTAACTTGAATCAAAAATTAGGATAAAAGAAAATTTGTAAGTGGCATTAAGAAAGTTCTAATTCATATCAGCATGCACTCTAATAAAACATGCAATGATTAGAAATTAAAAAAAGCTTGGTGGGTTAAAGCTTCTGTTACTCTTAGGAATAATTTTGCAATAATAAAAAAGCTAATATAAGGGTATTAGAAAGTACTACAAATTAATGAATGCAGGAAGTTAGGAGAAAATAACTTTTTGTAAGGATCAGAAATAGAGAAATTTCCTTATTCCAAGCTCATGTCAAAAGAAATGTCATTCTTATGCTAGCTCCTTATGTTTCTTTCGTCATTTGGACTACAGCAAATTTACTAAAACGTAATAGTCCAATAACCATTCACTGTGTACATCCATGTCCCTGATTTTGGTTTTCATATCTTTTGTTCCCTGGAATTAAGACCCCAACTCAGAGGGAAGAATTTTTATTTTTGTTTTAATGAACAAAGAAAAGTTGGTGGTTTTAGGTTTTCAATTAATTGTAGGTTTTCTAGCATTTACATTCACAAGAGAAAATTCAAACTTAAATAACTCCAAATTAGTAGAAAATCTTATTGATCATTTTCAAAATGTCCATCACTGTCACTGTCCTCCCGTTGTTCATCGATTTTGTTCGAGCGGGCCCAGTAACGTTTCCATTTTGAGACTTCTTGTTACTGTGTTTGGCATAGCGAATACATCACGGTAGCTTGCCAGGCTTTGCCATGAAGATGAGATACTCTCGGTAGCTTGCCGGGCTCTCCGAGAGGGGCGGAGGAATCAAACCTGGCGCGGCCGGGCTGGTTGCACACAAGGCAAATATGCCCTACCGCTGTGCTATTGCTCCAGCCCTAAAATGTCCATACTAATAATCAATTTTTTAAATGTAGAAATCAATAAGAGTTTTTTGTATCCAGCAAGTAAAATAATATGCATAGGATGAGAGGGAAAGACTAGGTCAAATTTTTCTAAGAATATATTCATAATACACAATGTGAAACAAAGTGTTGAAAGATGTCTTTTAAAAACAAAAACAGTAAAGAACCTACATCATGCAAAAACAAAAATCATATCTGAAATTCTAGATGGTCGTAGTACGTATATGTGTGTGACTTAAATAATAAAAGGTGTAAACAGTGACATGGGAGAACTGTGTTCACTGAATGATTATGATACCAGGTAACAGATGCTCCCAATAGTAAGGAATTCACAGCTGGCACACAACTAATTCTTAATTTAAATGTCTGATGCAAAAACCTTTAAAAAGAAACACTGAGGAAATTTTTGTTTTGCGTGGTGGTTTTTGTTCTTTTGGTTTTGTTACTTTGGTCCAAACCTGACAGTGCAGAGGACTAAAACTGCCTCCCACATATTAACACATGTGCTCCAATCCTTTGTGCAGCCTAAGAGAATGTTCTGATACAAATTCATATAGGAATTATACGGAATCTGATAAGGGGTGAAGTTTAGAATATCAACTCAATACTAACTCAAATGACCATTTCTGAGACTATTTATGTGGTTTTTAAAAAGTGATCATAATCTATTTGTAAAACAGGTTTTAAAACTTACTACTATACTGTATATAGAACAGTGTGCTGAAAATGGACCCAGATTCAAAACATCTACAGATAACAGTGCTATTTCCATAAGGATTTTAACTCTGTAATTTCTATTTTATCCTGTTAGGAGATAACATTAGTAGAAAACAAGTCCTGAGCAATGATGCTCATTCTGATAGGTATCATAAAGATCTACAACTATTTTCCTATCTAATATTTTGATCCAACTTACTTTTGTCAATTCCTCTTCCACAAAATTTTCTTATCATGCTAAAAGGTGAAGATGTGAGTATAAATGTATCCTGACATTAAATATCCAGAGTTCATTCCGTAAGCTGGTTTAAAGTGTAATCTATGTTTACTTCAATCTCTGCATTGCACTTACAGCTCATTTATTTGTAAGGTACTAGTCAACATTTTCCTCATTTGTGATTATGTCCAAATATTTTTAATCCATACCAGCTTATCTGTATTTTACATACACAGTCGGGCAAGAGTCTAATTTCCTATGCCTAACAGTCTAGCAGTATGGATATACAAAAATGCTTCCTGATTTAATTATAAACAGATGAAAACACTATACTGAATTTTCAGAGGTTCATGATTTAAATGAATTTAATGAATGAATATTTAATAGCAGGTTAACTGCTACATGTATTCACTATCACCAATTGAGTATCATAGGAAACTAGCTATTTAAAAGAAGAAAATATGCATTTCACCAGAACATTTAAGATACACACAATTTCCCACCAATCTTCCTAATGTGTTCAAAGAAAAGATACCAAATTAAGTTGGGTATCTGCAACACAAGGAGATTAAAAAAAAAAAACCCATACTCAAGTTGGTAATAAAAACTAAAATAGTAGTACGGGCCATTTTAGCAAAGACTATGCCTACTTACAAAAGGTTCAGTAAAACTAACTTTCTCGTTTTACATTATTTCAGCTCTTGGGCCACACCCAGTGGTCCTCAGAGCTTACTCTGGTTTCTGTGCTCAAGGATTACTCCTGGTGGGCTTGCAGAACTATATGAGGTGCCAGGGATCGATCCTGTGTTGACCACGTACAAGGCAAATGCTTTACCTGCCCTATTATTGCGATTTTTGAAGTTACCAAAACTTTAGGGCTGGAGCGATAGCACAGCGGGTAGGGCGTTTGCCTTGCACATGGCCGATCTGGGTTTGATTCCTCTGCTCCTCTCAGAGAGCCCAGCAAGTTACCAAAAGTAACTTGCCTGTACAGCAAAGCCTGGAAAACTACCCATGACATATTCGATATGCCAAAAACAGTAACAACAAATCTCAAAATTTGTTGTGAGACATTACTGGTGCCCGCTCGAGCAAACTGATGAACAACGGGAGGACAGTGCTACAGTGCAGTGCTACCAAAACTTTAGCACTGTAGCACTGTCCTCCCATTGAACCAAATGTATTTGGATCCACTAAATAAATATTCACTTTATAGCTATTTAGAAATATTTCCTAAAATTCTTGGCTGTAGGGGTCTGGAGCGATAGTACAGTGGGGAGGGCATTTGCCTTGCACGCAGCCAACCCAGGTTCAATACCCAGCATTCCATACGGTCCCCTGAGCACCGCCGGGAGTAATTCCTGAGTACAAAGCCAGGAGTAACTCCTGTGCATTGCCTGGTGTGACCCAAAAAGCAAAAACATTCTTGGCTGTAAGGCAGTTTCAAACCTTAAATTAGCTTATTCTTTAAACTCTTGAACTTAGTTCAAAAAATATTATAGCAATAAGGACCAAAAGTTATCCTGTTATTTGAAATTTTTTTTTGGTGCCTATTAAATTTTTTTGTGGGAATTGGGAGGGGTGAGCATCCAGTGGTGCTCAGGGTTTACTCCTGGCTTTGTGCACAGGATCACTCTTGGCAGGCTCAGGAAACCTATGGGATGCTGGAGGTCGAATTCAGGTTGTCTGTAGGCAAGACCAACATCCTACTTGCTATACTATCATTCCAGCCCCTATCAAATAATTTCTTACAGGTAGAACTTTGTGCATCTCCTAATCCTAGTACAAAACACTGAATAAACGAACAGTTGACTAGAGGAAGGGAGGAAACAGGGAGAACAGCACAATGGGATCAACAAAATCTTGAATTCGTCTTGGAAGATGGACTGATGAAATGAATTATATTTATGCTCAAATCTCTCTGAGATTTATTTGCATGGTAATGGCCCCAAATAAATTACTACAAGACCACTTGCCATCTTTATATCCAATAGCTATATATGAATAAGATAATATCCTAAAACTGGCATTTTTCATTTTGCCAAATATTCACTGATTATATATTAAGGATTAGAGATCTTCTTGAGCCCCAAAATAATCAGATAGTAATATAAACTACATAATCAAATCCGTATATTCAAAAGAATTTTCAAAAATCATTAAACCTGAACTTGACTTAAAGAAGATTGTGAGAAACTCTAAAACACTAAGAAATAATCCTCACAAGTCAGAATGTAGCCAAAACCAAGGCTCTAAGTTGTTTACTACTCTAATAATGTATATTATGGATGTAGCTTACTTATTCTTGCGAATTCATTCTGATCCTGAAAAACAATCTTTATATGTGTTCTAAACTAATATGCATAAAAATCTGAAAATACAAAGCTTTCTCAAAAAAAGCAGGAATAAACAGTTACAACAACTACATAATAAACTGAATTTTACATCTGTATCTTAATCATCTGGCAAGAGAATAAAACAAAATGTTTTATAATTCCCCTAAATATGTACTAGAAGCTATTGGTCCCTACACAATTTGAATTTCTGTGTTTGATTATGATTTCCTTAAGAATCTGCAAAGGTCAGATTTCATGTTTTAGATCATGTAAATATGTAAGAAAGTTGCAGTTTTGGAATTTATATGGGTCAGTAATCATGCACACAAGAGAAAAAAACTGAAGACCGTGCTCTTCAGTTTCAGTAACATATCTGCACCTATTTTCAAGACCAGATTAGCTTCTCAATAAAAGTAAGGAAAATGATGACCCATCAGCCATGCATGCTATAAGAAGACAGCTTCTACTCTTTGACAGCTCAGTTTTTCCAAACTTACTGTTTTCCTGCACCCTGGCCACGAAGCCTGTGAGAGGTATCTGTGGAGTCAACTGAGGCATAGGGGGAGGGGGTGGAGCAATAGAAACTGGTAGCAACAACACAGTATGGGGGAAGTAAAACAGATAAAGGAAAGAAAAGGAAACAAACAAAAAGCAGAAGTCAGTTACAAAGACCACAAACATAAGTATGCAAAGAACAGTTTGCAAATGAAACAAAACAAAACAAAACAAAAAACCAACATAACAAAAAACCTGCAGAATCTTCTACAAGTTCATTTCCTATGAGCAAATGCAAATCTGAATTATTGGTCAACTGATTTTATAAAAGAGTACATTTAATTTAACCCTACTAGTATTTGGGGAAACTTCCAAAAATTGTCATAATATTCACTTTCATGCAATAAAATTTCAAATTTTAAGGAAAGAGTATTTTTTTTCAAACTACTCCAGAGCACTTTTCTAGGCTATAGTGTCATGACCATAGCTCTGTAGTCTAATGAATATGTCAACCTTCAGGGTAACTAAAACCCAAACAAAACAAATGACACAGAAAGTTGCTATAATAAATTATCAGATAAATCACAAATTTTCTTTAAAGTCAGTTGTCACTATACATCTGAATTTATACACACCTCTCCAGGAAAAACCTTTGTTCCTATAACAAGGTTATTTCTTAGATTGAATTTTTTGTGTTTGTTTTTGGGTCAAACCTGGTGATGCTCAGGGCTTACTCCTGATTCTATGCTTAAAGGTCATTCCTGCTGGTGTGGGACCATATGATGCCAGGAATCTAATCCCTGTATTAGATCTACCTCCAACAGTTTTATTTTTAAAGATATCATTCCTAAACATACTACATAATAAAAGTGTTCCATATTTCACACATGTGCTGCATGGAACAAGACACATCAAAAGTAATATTTTTATTCAGGAAAAAAAAGCATAAAATAAAATAAAACCTATGTCTAACCGCATAGGTTAGAAATAGTTATTTGCACTAAATTTATTTCTAAGGTACCACTGGAAAGCTGAAAACATATAGCAACTTTTTTTCTGGAGAGGGCAGGTTTTATTAGAAACTGATATCAAATGCTTATGTGGACAGCAAATGTATTAAAACCTGAAGAAAAACACTCATGTTTATTACTTTGTCTCATTTTAAAGATAGCAATTGCCAACAAATGCTCAAAAAAAAAATCAATAGAAGTGGGTAACAATATTTAGTATTTCACCAGGACATTATAAATGACAGAGAAAAACAAATTAATGCTTCCTAAGGATAATTTCATTAAAAGGTTGATTAAGTTAATCCAACATGCAAATTTTGGTTAAGCATAAAAACTTGGAAAAGGTAGTATTCAATGAAGCATTAACTGAACGAAGCAATATAAGTGCATGAATATGCACCATATAACAATATTCAATTCACTATGAAACTGATCCTTTTTCATCCTGGTACTCTGTATACAGAAGACTCTTAAAAAAATTTTTTTTAGAAAAAACCCTTAGTAACTAGCTATGCTAGTTAGTAAGTAAAGAACAGTTATGCTATAAAGAAACTAATGATTACCACTTAATATTATGCACATCAAAACACTAAAAACATTTACAAACTACTGTTACAACTATAGCACCAATAGTACTCGGACTGAAAGATAATTAACTTGAAAATACATATCTATAATGAGGCCGAATCTGCTTTACAACGTATAAAAGAGAGATGTTCAGTAGTGAAAATTTCTGGAGACAAAACAATGTACCCAAGAAGTTAAAACTGCACAAGGGGGCTAAAGGTGTGGTTTCCAGTGACAGAACACATGGTTTTCCTTGCATTGCTGAGGTCTCAGATTTGATCTGGAATCACCTGTTCTGCTTCAGCATCGCCTGATGGCCCCCTCACACTGCCTGGCCCAAACACTACCGGGAGTGGTCCCACATCCCCGGTACTGTCAGTATGGCCCCCCAAAACAAAAATGAAACCACACGAACATGTCCTAATGTGAGGAGTTGCAAAAAACTATTTATCAAGTAAATTAACTATCTTAATGAGGAAAGAACAAAATGCACATAAAGATATAATCTTAACATGTAGAACAAGAAAAAAAATTTGAAAGTTCATAGAACTAGTGAGACTAATATGAATAATCCATGGAATATTCAGACACAAGATACCTGTCATCATCAAAGGAGACCAGGAGAAACGTGAAGTAAAATTCTAATCAATAAATTTTTTTAGAAGATTGTATGAACATTTTAGTATGGGAACAGGTATTACTTTTGGTATTATCTGTGAATTTTGAAATTTTATGCTAAGATAATTTCTGACTTTTATGCCAAGATAGTTTTCAGTTCTCAGTACTCTTTTGCTATTAATACAACTCTAAAATTTAAATACACATACACATACAAAAAAGAACTTCCCCCTACCTGTTTTAATATATTTATATATAGTAGAGGAATAAAAACTAATTTCCTAGGTAAGCAAATATTCAGTGATTTCCAAATAAGCTAAAAGAGCACACAGCTCTAGAAAGTAGTTATAAAATTACATGGGAAAGTAGTGATCAATGCCTCCAAGGAATACCAAATATTGAACAAATGGTCATATCAAATATCTTTATCTTTTTGGGGTTTTTTTGGATTAAGCATCTTAATATAAAATTAAAATAATTACACTAAACAATTCAAATTTCCTGACACCGTAAGCCAGAACTATTTTCGAACTGTATTTGCTTTTAAACACTGATTGCAGTTAGTGTTGAGATGTGCAAAATAAGGTGAAAAGAAAGAAAAAGAAAATCCTTCCCACTGTTATAATTATAGAGACAGAATGAGAGGACACCACAAACGTTTTTTAAAAGGTTTTGAACTCATTTCAGCACAGGTTAACAAAGTGATAGCCAGCAATTATATCATTTTAAATTAGACCTTTTCACGGTGTTTTTAATATTACCATTATTTTAAAAACAAATTTCTTAATGTTTTTCTTCTGTAATTCCAATTATAGTAATATAAATATATTAAAACATCTGTTAAATTTTAATACGTAAATATACTTGGTTAGTATGAATTTCTTTGAAAGTGGTAAGATTCTTAAAGTGGCATGTTTCAAGCAAAAACATGAAAAGGCATAGGTTTAATTGTTGTCTATCACTGGCAAGAATACAGTTTCAAATTATTTCCTTCAAAAGGAGCTCCACTGTTGCTGTATGCCTGCAGAACACAAGCTTACTTGAATTTTGAGAATAAAGTGGACCTCCATTAACATGAGGCTGAGCAGAAAATTGAGCAGTCACAGAGGGAGTTCGTCTGTAGCCACCAGAAGACGTCGAGGAAGTGGTAGAGTTGTGTCGTGAAATCTGCCTGGTCATTGTGCCATACTGGGAACCAGGAGCTGAGCCCGGGGCTGCTGAAAAGCATTAGTCAAAGGCAACCAACAAAGAACTTGAGCATTGTATACCACTTCACATGGCAGAACAGAGAGAGGGGACTCTCAGTAAGAAACATTGATTACTTCTAAAAGCCCACAAAGCACAACATAAAGAGAAAAAAGAAAGATAAGACTCAAACAGTTCTATCTCTGAAGACACAAACAGAAAGAAAAAACAGTATGTGGAAAGCTGCCGAAATAAGTTTTATACCTTTAAAATTTAAGTTGCCATTTTTCAAATAATATTTTGCTAATATTATAAGTTTTCTGCATTATTCAAAATATATAGCTGTCAATTTTTTCTCTCCAAGGAAGTGCCAAAAAAGTTCAATTTAAATGGAGAGCATCAGTTTTTAGGTAAATATATTAATATAAAATTTACATACTTTTTCCTTTCCACCATCAAAACAACACATAAGAATCTATACAGCCAAATCGAGGTTCAATTACAAAATTTTAGCTGTTAAGCTTATTTTCCACATACATGACTATTACTTAAAGTTTTATATTAGCAGTTTTACCAATACATCATTGTAGAATTCCTTTTAAGAGGAGTATAATTTCCAGTTTCAGAGCATATAATGTTAGATTTAGTGTATATGCTATATTTTAAAAAAAATTTTCCAAGTATTCAAATTTTTGTTCTAACAAAACTGATAAAAATGTAAATAGATATTTAAAGGCAAGTTGCATAAAAAGTCTGCATATTCCTCCATACCTAGAGGATTTTTTAATATTATGCCCAAAGCAATTTTTTAAAGCTACCATGCATATCTAAATTAATCAAAGTATAACACTTAAATTTTATTCAGTATCACCATTACCAACATTTCAAAAAGTTTAATACTTAAAAGGGTTAACAGAATTTAAAGCCTCTAAAGTTAACTGTACTTTCCAAAGGTATGGATATTAATATTATCCTTTTTGCCCCACCCAAACATCTAACTAATCATGATTAAATGAAAACACAATATCCTAGCTAATTTTCATTCAATTGTGCAAATTAACCTCATTTGGAGGTCATACAAATTATTAGATAAAAACAGCAGGGGTTGTTCATTGAAAGAAATGTTAAAATTTACCACTTTGGAGCTCCCAAGCCATAGGCAGTCACTAATTTTCAATATCTACTTGCTCATTTTCTAAATAGAAACACATTTTAAAAATAATTTAGCAAGTCATGAAGACTTTTTCTTTGGTCATGAAGGCTTTTAATAGATTTCTTGAAATGCTAAATATTTCAGAAGAGTAAAAAATAACCCTTACATTATTTTAAAGGGAAACTCTATAAAGTGACTTGTATTTTTCTAACTCACAGATTGTGCATAAAATAACTGTTTTGGCAATTTAAAATCAAAAACCAACTGGCAGTTTCAAACTATGCCTATTTTAGAATTTATTTTAATATTTTATGCTAAAATAATAAAATCAAAGGACACATGGCTGATATATATACACATTAACATGTTATATAACTTACTGTGCATATATAAGAATTACACATATGGTGATATAAATCAATATATAATTATGATGGCTATATATAATTTATTCACATAAACATAGATATAAATATTATTTAAAGAACTATAAGATAAGTACCCAGCTCTCAGGAATAGAGTATTAACATGCTGAGGTTTCCTATATGCTCTTTTTGGACACTACAATGTATATATAAAAATTCATTCCTTTATATTGTGGTGTTTCTTTTTAAATCAAAGCAAGATACCTTTAAACAAAAAAACATTCAGCAAATTTATTAACTGTCATGATGGAATGATTATATGCTGTTAACTTATGCTTTTCATTCGATATTTCTAAAGATTGATCTACGTTGATCAGTATATGGATATATCTTTCATTTTTATTGCATTTTGCATGTGAATATGCTGCAATTTATAAATCCATTCTACCATTAGATTTGTGTTGCCTCAGAATTAATGCTATTAATGCTTCTAATAAACATCTGAATTTCTCTAGAACACTGATTCAAACCCCCAATTAAATTTTACCTTGACAGCTTATTCTGCTAAAGGATTGCTGGGCTCTTAACACTAGGTGTTTCTGATTGAGGAGGCCAGAAATGAGAACTTAAGATGTACATTTCTAACTAGCTCTCACAGAATATTTATGCTGTTGGCTTGGGATCACACTTTGAAAACCAATACTCAAGGGCTTATGATTTCACATTTTTGTTTAGGGGCTCCTCAAAAACGTAAAGAACCATACAGAGGTTTTGTTGATGAGTTGTAGTGATAGGTAACGATTAGAAATTAAGCTTGGAGAGCGTGTTCAGCAGGAAAGGCACCTGCCTTGCATATAGCCAAGCCAGGTTTGATCTCCCAAACCACATGTGATCCCATGAGCCCTGTAAGAAGTGATCCGTGAGCGCAGAACCAGAAGTATGCTCAGAGCACCACTGGATGTGGCCCATCCTCACACCAAACAAATAAAAATCAGTTTTAAAAGATTAAAATTGATCTTATTTTTAAAACACATGAATAAACAAGTACACATCCCATTAACTGTCAAAATGAATTTTATATAAGAACCAAAAAATTTTAATATGTACTTGTGCCGAGTAAGAATAAAAAAGATAAGTAAATCTTAATATTATCATAAACATGGTTCTAACCTCAAAAACTCCCTGAGGGTATAACTGAAACCCAAGCACAAAAATTTGTAAATCTACAACTGTACCTCATGGTGTTTCACTAATAAAAATTAAAAAGAAGAAAAAAGTCATGGGAAGAAAAAAAAACACCTCCCTAAGGAACATTCTTCACCCTATAGATTGGCCTACATCTTGACCTAAGATGTACTCTCAGCTTTTTCTCTTTGGAAAAGCCCATATACGCCTTGAACATGTATCTCTCTCTTGAACATGTGTTATGTACCTCTCTCCCCATATCCACCCCCACCCCATTCCTCTAAATAAATTTAAATAAAATTTTTTACTTCACTTTTAAAAACTCGATGAAATGATCCTCATAACCCCCACAGGTTCGATGATAATATTTTGAGAATAGATACTGTGGGGTAAATGTCCAGACATGAAACCGATAAATCTAGAATAGAAACCCACTTCTAGGTTGTGGGTGAATAACAGACAATTTTCCAAAGCTAATATAAAAACAAAGTTCTACCACCAATGTACTTTCCTATTACTACTTCCTATTACTATTCCTACTACATCCTCATCAACATTTGTTTGTAACAGTCATCTCCATTTTTATCTATCTGCTGAATATAAACAGGATCTCAGAACAGTTTTAACATTCATCTTCATGACTATTCTTTAGATTGAGAGTATGAGCACTATGCTCTATCAGTTTTTCAAATGTGATAAATACAAAAGTTTTCCTATACTACACATCCTTTCTTCCTTTTAATTTTAGTGCCACACGCTAGAGTTCTTAGGGGCTATTTCCAGCTCAGTGAGCGAGGGCTGCTCTCAAAGGTGCTGAGGGATCATGCAATGGTGGGAATCAAACCCAGGGCTCCAGGATGCATTCCAGTCCACTGAGCTATCCCCTCAGCCTTTTTTTTTTTTCATTTTTATTCCTCCTACTCATCCACCTTCATTCTAATCCTATGACTGTTGTATGGGAGTACAAGGGAGTTCCAAATCAAATTCCAAGTAAAAAAAAAATATGTACAATGATTTGTTTTTAAGATGTTTTGAACAATCACTGCTATAATTTTTCTAGAGAAACCTAAACAAATATAAACCACAATTGGTTTAAAAACCAAACATAACAATACTTAGAAATTATAAAGTTATTTTATATCTGTTTCTGGTATAACTTCAGAGGCTTTGCCCAGAAGAAATTAGTGTAAATTAGATTTAATACTTTAACCTTTGTATTATCACCTATGACCTAAGAACTATAAAAGGTAGCATCTAACAGGAGTTCATTATGAATTATGCAAAGTAAGTCAAATCACTCCAACGGTTATGCAATCTCACCTATCACAGTGCTCACTGGGAGGAGTGGTGGAAGAGGTGGTGCTGGTGGAGCTCCAGAAGGAGGAGGGACAGAAATGTTTTCTAATAAAATAGTTTATAATTCAGGTCAGAGTGCAAGAAAGAGAACTAAACATTCTGAAACAGTAAGAAAGTACAATGTATTGGAAAGAAGAAGAAGAAGAAGGAAAATAAAAAGAACGTGAGAGACACCCATATGTATAGCATGTTCAAATGAGTAAGAATTTTACTAGGCAAAAAAGACCACTGAGTTCATACCTGTATTAACGATAAAATATGCCTGTTTTTATAAGTAGTCTTTTCTATTTCAACATCCCTGAGAAGTTAAAGAATTTTTCCTTAAAAGTTTTAATGTCATACTTAAATTTATCATTTTAGTACTTATAAAAAATCTTCACTTCCATTACTAAAAAAATCAAGGGGCTAATTTAGTACTCAGTAATGATTTCTCATAATTTCACACTAAAAAGTAAAAGAACTTTTCCTATTTTAATTTCATTCTATAGCATTTTACTGAAATATGTATTGACTATCATACATATTTAGTAAAGTCCCAAAACAAGCTAATACCAGAGTTGAAATACTAGACTACAAAGCAACATAACTTAATACATAATTCACATTATAGACAAAAATCCTTTGGTTGGAGGATCAACAATCATATGTTCTGTAAAAAATTCATATCACTTTTTTTTCCGGGCCACACTTGGCAATGCTCTGGGGTTACTCCTGAGTCTGCACTCAGGAATCACTCCTGGCAATGCCCGGGGGACCATATGGGATGCAGGGTTCAAACCAGGGTCGGCTGTATACAAGACAAGCACCCTACCAACTATAATATTGGCTCTGGTCCCTCATATCACTCTTGACTAGGGTCCAAATGGCCCAAATAAAGCTCTTTAATATGCTATATATACATGACTGTATGCATTAAATCTGCGTATATTAATGTGCACCCAAGAAAAACTTGTAAAACCATGAAGAACATAGAACCAATCTAAAACTGTTATAAAATTAGTCATTAACCTTTTATTCTAGCAGCAAACACATAAATATAATAGTGTTATCTAATCTAACTAAAGTATATCAGGCTTCCATAGTACAGCTCAGAAGTGCAGGTGATAGAATTATTAAAATAGAGTAAATCACATACCTGGTCCAATGGTGGGTGGTGAAGGTGTAGGCACGGCAATGGGAATGCCAATACTGCTGCTTCCACTATTTTCTCGACTTCCACTTCCTCCACTACTTCCACTACAAAGAAAAAAGGAAAAAAGCAATTCAAGGAATTTATCAAAACAAAACAAAAAACACCAACCTATAATAACTTAGAGGCATTAAATACTTCTTATGATATCTATATGTGTTTATATAGAAAAATAACTGCTCAATTCAATTTTGTTTTATTTCGGGGGCCACACTCAGCAGTGCTCAGAGCTTACTCCTGGTACTACGCCCAGAGCCACTCCTGACAGGCTCAGAAGATCACATGGGATGCTGGAGATCAAACCTAGTTTGGCCGTGTACAAGGTTCTATTGACAAATTTTAATCCTAAAACTTGAAGCAGTTGTTTTTCATTGTATTTCTCACTCTATTTCGAATTAATGAAACAATGAAACATAGTACTCAAAACAATCAGAAGGGATCTTCCTTTCGAGAAACTAATGAATGATAATTTTTTTGGTACAGTAGGTCAACAAGGGTTTATTTAAAACCTACTATGGAAATGAATATGAACCATACAGTCAAGTTTTTGAACTTTACAATGGAAACATATCAAAAAACAAAGTGAAAGAAAGGAATGTGGGCTTAGTTGTGGAGGGCCTCAGAAATAGAAGGTTGCAAGTTCAATGCCCAAACCCTGAATCCCACATGCCAGGATTCCCCAATGCCACAAAGTATGCGACCTCCAGTGAGCACCACAATCCAAAAGTGTGCACCGATTATGCAATTGCTGCTGACTGGCTGTCAATAGGTAAAATCTTACTCATAGGTCAATTTTTTGTTCTGTTTGGTTTTGAGGTCACAGTCAATGGTGCTCAGAGCTTACTTCTGGCTCTATGATCAGGGATCACTTCTGTTGATACTTGGGGAGATTCGGGGGATTGCCAAGGATCAAATTCAGGTCAGCCACAGGAAAGTCAAGTGCCCTACTACAGTACTATTTCTTCAGCCCCCAATAACTCAATTTCTAGGACCTATGAGCTAAGAATATTTTTTAACTCTCTGTGGTTTATAGTTTTTATATATAGTCTAAATACATAAAATTTTATTGGAACATAAACAGGTTATTTTCACGATGCTTGTGGTTCCTTTCATACTACAATGACAGAGTTAAAGAGCAGACTCCATTAATGGCCCAGGAACCCTAAAATAGTCATAACTTGGTTCTTACCAAGTATGTAACATGTTATGTCCTACTTACTTGAATTTCCAAAACTAATATAAGTTGGATCTCTAAAACACCAAATAAGAACTGAAAGTAAAATCAAGCATGGGATTCCTTGCCTACATTAATGAAGAGTAAAATTAAATCATGAAACATATTAAGTTGCACAATACATTTTTCTTGCTTTACAAAAGTGCCCCCAAACTGGGGAGACGGTAGGGAACAATAATTGAGAAAGAGATTAAGAATGTCTTGAGGTTGCAAGCAATGGTTCCTTTTTTCTAAATAATGGTTACATGAATGTGTTCAATTTGTATTGATCAAAAAGTTGTGTATTTAGTAAATACTTTCCTAAATTGTATATTATGCTCCATAACCAAGAATTTTTTTTGTGGGCTGGAGTGACAGTACAGTGGGTGGGACATTTGCTGTGCATGCAGCCAACCTGGGTTCAATCCCCAGCATCCCATATGGTCTCCAGGCACCACCAGGAGTAATTTCTAAGTGCAGAGCCAGGGGGTTGCTCTGAGCACTGCTGGGTGTGACCCAAAAAAGTTAAAAGAAAAAAAAAAACCAACAAAACAAAAAAACCCAAAAAACAAAACCAAGAATCTTGTTCGTTTGTTTTGTTTTCTGGGTTACACCCTGCGTGCTCAGGGGATATTGCTGGCTCTGTGCCCAGGTGTGGTCCCTGGAACATATGGGGTGCCTACTCTAGATGTTTCTTGTTCCCAACCTTCTAAAATGTTGAAATTACACTGTAATTTCTGATATTTAATTTTTTAGTTCAAAAAAATCTTAAATAATACCTTATTCATTTTAAGGACACTTTTTAATTTTATTTGGGGCTAGGGGGTAGGGAGCAGAGGCAGAGAGTACAGACAAAGTGAGGTCAGAGGCCATTCCAGGCTTGGTGCTAGGGGAGACCATGCAGTTCCTAGGGATGGAATCTGGGTCTTCTACAAGCAAAGCATATGCTCCAGCCCACTGAACAACCTCACTAGTCCCAAAGACTGGTTTTTAAAACATTCTCTAGTCTTGATCCAAATATATATCTGTATCTGTCAAATGAAGTAAACACTAGCATTATGCCAATATACAGATACCAAAAAAAAAATCCTAAGAAAATAAGTTATAATACATGTTTACAAGAACATATAAAACACTCTTATCGTCAATTTTTACATTCTATACCAACATTACAGTAGTGCTTTACCACTTTGGTTTGGGAACTTGTCAGATGGACAAAGTCTCAACCTGAAAGATTACCTGTGTGTCCTTGGTCTCTGATTTAAAGATGCTGTTCTGCCTGGACTGTGCTGACTTCCAAGCCGAGCAGGACTTGTCATGTAGTCATTAGGAACTGTTGGGGGTTTAACAGGTTCCAGAGTTTTATAAGGAGTATTCCGTCTATATGAGAGGATATGAGAAAAAGAAATAATGAACAAAAATAAATAAAGCAATATGCAACCCTAATATATGACTGTTCCTTTGTAATCAAACACAACATAAGCTTTTGGGGGAAAAAAAAGTCCTAATTGGGTATTTAAACTTTGTCACTTAAACACAAAAAATAAATAAACTTTCTTAGGAAAATCACTGGAAAGAGATTATTTGGGGGTTTTGTGTGGTTTGTAGGACCACACCCAGCAGTGCTCAGGGCTTGCACCTATCAGTGCTCAAGAGGCCACATGCAGTGCCAAAGGTCAAACCTAGGTCAGCCATATACAAGGTAAGCACCCTACCCACTGTACTATTGCTTCAGCCCTGGAAAGGAATTTTTTCCTTCTTTGGGTCATACCTGGTGATGCACAGGGGTTACTCCTGGCTCATGCACTCAGAAATTTATTCCTGGTGGTGCTCGGGGGGCCATATGGGATGCTGGGAATCAAACCCGGGTCGACCACATGCAAGGCAACGCCCTAACTGCTGTGCTATCGCTCCAGCCCCTTGGAAAGGATATATTTTTTTATAAATTCAAATCTTATTTCTAAAAATAATGGCTATAATTTTAAATGTTCAATAATATCAAAATAAAGTAAATATATAGTATTCACAAGCTTAATCATCTACAAGTATCACCCATACTTAATATCTGTAAGGTTATTATGAAAGCTAAATATCTTCTGGAATTTATCACTACCTACCTTTATATGGAAATAGGTAATCACTGTCACTATCACTGTCCTCCCATTGTTCATTGATTTGCTCAAGAAGGCCCAGTAACATCTCCATTGTGACAATTGTTACTGTGTTTGGCATACATATCGAATACATCACAGGTAGCTTACCAGGCTTTGCCATGCAGGCAAGATATTCTCGGCAGCTTGCCGAGCTCTCCGAGAGGGGTGGAGGAATCGAACTCAGGTCGGCCATGTTGGCCACTTACAAGGGAAACACCCTACCCGCTGTGCTATCACTCCAGCCCAGAAATAGGCAATATTTATATATTAGTATATATTAAGTACATTCTACTTTGAGGGAAGATTATCTGGTGACAGGTCTTGATCTCAGGTTCCCAGTTGTAAAGCATGCAACCAAAACCTTTGTATTATCTCCCCAATTCCTAAACAAGTAAATTATAATCAAGATGAAAAGTCTTTTTTCTTTTAATAGATGTTTTTGCTTTTCTATAATGTCTAATTTATATAGTTTTTGTTTTTATCAGGGACAAGAAATTTACAGAATGAATACAGAAATTAAGATGCTAAAACTGACTGTTGGTTGTTATTACTATAAAACTATGATTTCCACTCTCTAGCAGAAATAAGAAACCTAGTCAAATGTACCCTAGATAAGATGACCAACCTTCAGAATTGTTATATTAACTTTTTATTGCACTAAACCTTTTAATGTTTTAACTGCACTAAAACTGGGAAGGAAGAACCCACCAACTGTTATCTTTCCTACTTCACCAACTGGACTGAACTTCATAAGCTAGTCTAATAGGAGAAGCCCTTATAATACCAGCAAAAGCACAATAAAGTTAATCATGGTAAAAAATCCTTAAGTTAAAGATACAAAGTAATAAGAGAAACCAAAGAGCTGCATGCTACTAAGCCAAGCTACAGAAAACAGACCACTGATTGTTTCCACTCTGGAGAAGCCTGTGTTGTCTCTTAAACACTTATCTCTCTCTCCCTTCACACTCCTCTAAATAAATTTTTTTCAATAAAACCATTTTACTTCAGTAGAATCAAACAAACAAACAAAAAAACCCTTAAGGTTCTGTAATAAATGTTGCTATGATACATCTGAAGATGCGTACTTTAATTTAGATCACACTTTGTACACATATATAAATTTATATGTACTTATCACTAAGTTCCATCCTAGCTCCCCAGATTTATAAATACGTATATAAAATATATTTTTATTGAATCATTGTAAATTAGTTATTCATGACTGTTTTAGGTGTACAAAGTTCCAACCATTGTTCACTTCCCTCCATCTCTATTACTAGCTTCCTTCCACTCATGTTTATATATTTTTAAAAGACAAATAATGCTCATTTATATACATAAAAAGACTTCAAATAAAAACTGCACTGGAGATTATAAAACTGGCTGATTCATTCAGGTTCTATTCATGAAAAGAAGAAACAAAATTAATTTTAAAAAAGCAGAAAGGGTCCCATATTAAGGAGTTACACATTTACTAAAAGTGAAGACACATCTTTTCCTTTAGCAGACAAATTCTCCTGTAAAATGTAGTTGGATTCTTACCCCAACGTTCCCCTGCCTGACATGGGAGGACTTGGTGGTTTCTGAGTAGGAGGATTTGTTCTCGACAATGTGCCAGTTCTTGCAGGCTGGTTATTTCCATGCTAAAATGTGGAAAGAAAAGCTTTTATTTTTGTATCAAATTGTTCTCTTGGTGTTGTGACACGATGTTTTTTTTTTTAATATCAGAATGTGAAGGATTCCCAGACAGTTCTAATAACAGACTTTAGCACATTTTTTAAAAAAAAATCAAGAACCACTTACTTACAACTGGTTTTTATTATTTTATGCCATTTATACCAATTTATAATAAAACACAGGTGAGACAATATTGTATTTTATTGCTAAATGCTTACTGATCAAACTTATCTGCCTTCAAATACTGAGTTTTCCAAAATTTTGAAATACATGTATAAATATACATAAAAATCAGTGTCAATTTGCTAAATAATCTATCTGGAAAATGACTTTTTGTTTGTTGTTTGTTTTGGGGTCATACCCAGCAATGCTCAGGGTCACTCCTGGCTGTGCTGAGGTATCACTCCTGGCAGTGCCCGGAGGGCCATATGGGAGGTCAGGGATGGAACCCAGGTTGGGTGCATAGAAAGCAAATGCCTGACCTGCAGTATTATCACTCCGGCCCTGAAAAATAATCTTAAACTCTTAACAATTCAGTAACAAAGTCATGTATGATGTCTGGGAAACCTCCTAATTGTAAGTCAATAAAAGCAAGGCAACTATCAAAAAATGAGCAAAGCAATAAATGTTAGCAAAATTAATATTCCTATACAAATGCAGATGTCAATATATCTTTGATATATTAATACATTCAAGCTAGATGTTGCTGATTTGAACTGAGTTTGAGTACATTTAATCTACATAAATCCTATGGGAGGGAAGCAGACAGACAAAGAAAGAGTTTTGAAATTTTAGTGGCTCTGCAGCCTCTATCAATATAGAGGTAATACTGTGGATCAAATGAGAAGTAGTATCTCTTACCTTGGCTTTTAGCCACTTTATGTTGGCAAAAAAAGAGGGGGAAAAAGTAGAAATTAATTCTAGGTAAGTTGTATTTTGACAGGACAGTTTTATACTCACACACAATTCATATTAATAATCTTTTACCCAGCCATATTTCAAAATTTTGTAAAAAGATATTCATAAGCAGTAGAGAAACATTCACTTATGTCATTTATTTTTCAAGAGAACATATTCACAAAGAAACCACCACTTAATTATGCTCATCTCACATATAGATCAGTATTTTATCTTACAGGACTAATATTTTATTAGTCCTGAACCAGAGACAGTATTTTTAACAAACCTTGGTTTTAAATATAAGTACTGTAACAAATTAAAAGGCTAATTTAAATATATCAATATACAAGACCTAAGAATATCATATAATAAATGCCCAATAATGATTATTCATTATCTGAGCAGTAGTAGTATTTTGTGGGGGAAGCCACACCCCATGATGCTCAGGAGTTACTTACTCCTGGTTCTGATCTCAGGAATTACTCCTGGCAGTGCTCAGGAGGCCATATGGGATACTTGGGATCAAACCTGGGTCCGCCACATGCAAGGTAAGCACCCTACCTGCTGAATTATCTCTCTGGTCCCAAACAAATAGTAGTAGTTTATCAAGAGACAAACGTTTAAATTCAAACACACAAGCTACTTCAATAAAAGACCTGCTACCTCAGTGTTTATAAACAAAATCATGATGCATAGCAATAACTTAGTCAGATTCTAACTCAGGATAAACAAAAAGGATTTGAAAACTCTCTCATTTTTATCAGCCACAAACAGTAAAAACCATTACAGGTTGCTCTTGTTCAAAGTTTTCTTCTCATTTTAGCCAAAAATCAATTGAAGAAAAACTGCTGATCTGAGAGCCCACTTCTTTCACCAATGATCAGTCTATACACATAAAATAAAGTCCTAAAACAAGGCTGGTGAGATAGAACAAGGAAGGATTAAAGTACTTGTCTTGCACACAGCTGACCCCAGCTCAAATCCTGGCACAGCATATGGTCTCCCAAGTACTGCCAAGAGTGATCCCTGAGCATAAGCCAGGAGTAAGTCCTTGGCATCATTAGATGTACCCACCTCCTTCTCCCAGAAACAGTCCTAAAGGAGCCAAAGCGACAGGACAGCAGATAGGGCATTTGCCTTGCACACGGCCAACCCAGGTTCAACCCCCAATATCCCCTATGGTCTCCCAAGGACTGCCAGGAGTAACTCCTGAGTGGAGAGTCAGGAGTAACCCCTGAGCATCGCTGGGTGTGACCCAAAAAGAAAACAAAAAGTCCTAAAGTATTACTACTTTTACTATTCCACATAAGAAAAAACATATATCTTTAGTTTGTAGACTATGTTTTCTTGAGTCTCAAGTTCTTTCCCTAACATATATCATTCTATAACTATAGATTTTTCAAATAAACATTAAGACGAATCACGACCATCCTGTTATTCGTCGATTGCCTCGAACAGGCCCCAGTAACGTCTCCTTCATCCTAGCCCTGAGATTTTTAAGAAGGTGCTATATTCAAGGCTCTTTAGGAGAATGAGACCCATCATTGGTACTGGTATTTGGCATATTGGGTACCCCACGGGGAGTTTGCCAGACTCTGCCGTGTGGGCAGGTTACATTCGGTAGCCTGCCAGTTTGTCCAAAGTAGGAATGAGATAATAAGATGTCATAATAAGATGTCGTGCGGCCGCATTCGGTTCCGGGAGCTGGTTTTTATAGTCTCTGAGTCTTGGCCTTTGATGGGATTACACGGCGCCGGGGGGGGGGGGGGGGGGGCCAGTTGGTGGGTGTGACCCCCGCCTACTGGAATTCGGAGGATCTGGGTGGAGAATGCTCAGCCCTGATCCGAGTAGGCTTGGAGATCTCAGCCCTGGGACCCGCTTGCCTTTATTTAAAAAAAAAAAAAAAAAACCTTTGGGGCTGGAGCAATAGTCCAGTGGGGAGGACATTTGCCTTGCATGCAGCTGATCTGGGTTCTATCTCCATCATCCCAAATGGTCCCTCAAGTACCACTAGGAGTGATTCCTGAGTACAGAGCCAGGAGTAACCTCTGAGCATCACCAGGTGTGACCCAAAAGCCTAAATAAATAAATTTTAAAAAAAAAAAAACACCTTTCACGGGGCTGGAGTGATAGTACAGAGGGTAGGGCATTTTCCTTGCACGAGGCTGACCTGGGTTCAATCCCTGGCATTCCATAGGTACCGGGAGCACCACCAGGAGTAATTCCTGAGTGCAGATCCAGGAGTAATCCCTGAGCATCACGAGCTTAGGCCACAAAAGCCAAAATAAAAAATAAATAAGTTATAGTATATATTTAAAAAAAAACTTTAACATTTAACTATAATTGTTCCGAATAAAAGAATAAAAGAAATTATTTAGGATAGGAACGAAAAATTTAGTTGAACTGTGCTACTTTGTAATAAGGTAAACCTTTCATCTTTGGAAGTCCTCTTTTAATAAAATATATATGTGTGTATGTGTGTGTGTATATACATATATACACACACACACACACACATACACCAAAGTTTTGGCGTTGGGGAAGAGTTAAAAGGACTCTACATTTTACCATTCAAAATATAACTAGCAGCAACCTACATAATTTTCCCACTGAAATGTCACCAAACACACCCAATCTAAACTAAACTTACAACAGAATTCTCTTCAAATCCTATTTCGTGGTCCTGAGTTAATAACCACAGGGTTTGTAGACCATAGTTATTGAAAGTAAGACCTGGAGCCAGTACAGCGGGTTGGGCACTTGCCTTTTATGCAGCCAACCCAGGCTTGATCCTGCTATGGTCCTCTGAGTCCAGCCAGGAGTAATTCCTGAGTGCAGAACCAGGAGTAACACTTGAACATTGCTGGGTGTGGCCCCAAAAATAGCAAACAAAAAGAAAGGGCAATTCCTTCTCTGAAATGATTCATTAAGTCACTCCTCTGCTTTATAGAGTTGAAAACTCATTCCTGGGGCTTGAAGATGGTGCACTGCATTGGGCGCATGTCCCTACAGCCCACAGATCTCTCAAAAATTGGTTGGTGGAGGCCCCTGAGCACTGCCTGATTACCACAATCTCTGGCACCGCAGAGCCCTAGCACTGAATCCCAGGCCTGGAAGTAATCCCAATGACCCAAAACAAAGTGTCACCCCTAGTTACATATTATAAAGTTTTAGGGTCACTAATAAAATGCAATGATTCCTATCTTCTATGGTCTTGAAGTGAAAAAAAAAACACAAACATATATGGAAAACTCTTTATAAATTATAAACCAAACTATAAAGCTGTTAGATTTTTGTTTTTGTTGATCCAAGTTTGGCCACACACAGTAATTCAGGGATCACTTCTAGTGGTGCCCAGGATATGATGTGTCAGAGATTCACTCAGCCTAGGTTGGCTGCATGCAAGGCAAGTAACATTGACCCCCGTATTATCCTCTGACCTCTCAAAAATAAATTTAAATGCCTCTACAAAGCATTTAAGTCTGGGTCTTGAATATAGGCTCCTCTTTTTTTCATTCTCCTTTATTTTCTGATCCATAGTCTTACATTATTTCAAAGTAAAATCAGACTTGAGACTATCTGTATTTTTAATTTCTACAAACTACCTAATAAACTTACACGTACAATCTGCTTCTTAGCATAAAATATAGTAACATTGTAATTTAAAAATAATTAAATAAAATAGAAATGTAAAAATCATTTAAATAAAATAGAAATGCTGAAACACTAAAATTTATAGCACAAAAGAAAATATGGAATATTAATTTTGGATTATACAAAAATTAAGGGAAAATCTGGTAGTTACACAAAAGAATATTAATATATTTAGATATAATTTTTTAAAATTCTGTATATCCTGTTTGGGGAGAAGCACTCCTGGTGGTGCTTAGAACCCTTAAGCTCCATGAATCAAAACTGAGTTTTCACATTCAAAAGAATGTGCTCCAGAATCCTTTTTATCATCCCCCTGTGTTTTTCCCCCTCTCCTCCAGTGTATGGGATCAAACTCAGAGCTTCACACATAAAAGTATTCTACCACTGAGCTCCATCCACAGCCTCTGTTTGTATATTTAAAACACCAAAATACGATAGTCAAAAGTCAAACAGTAGCATGAGGAAACAGTTGCCAAAAGATAGTCAATTTTCCTAATCAATAAGAAAAATAAAAAGGAATGCTGACAAATCAAACAAATTCAAAGGAAGAAAGAGTTTTTACAGTTAATGGCACTCAGGGACTATCCCTAACTTAGTTCTTTGAGCTGTTTGAGCTGTTCAAGAAACATGCAGTGTTAGGGAATGAACCCGGGGCACTATATGCAAAACATGTTCTCCAGTATGCTGAGTTCTCTCTCCAGTCTATAATAATAATTTTAAAAATAAATTTAAAATTAGAAACACAGTTCTTCATATAATTAATTTAAAAATAAAACTGAACTATTGCTCATAATTTTGTGGGTTTTTTTTGGGGGGGTCACACCTGGCGATGAAGAGGGGTTACTCCTGGCTCTGCACTCAGTAATTACCCCTGGAGGTGCTTGGGGGACCATATGGGATGCTGGGAATCAAACCCAGGTTGGCCGCGTAAAAGGCAAACACTCTACCCGCTGTGCTATTGTTCCAGCCCTTACTCATAATTTTGGCCCTCACATTTATTACCTAATAAGCAATTTCTAATTTTCTAGATTATCACAAGTATCTATAATCCTCTAATAATATTTTCAGTAATAATATCCTTCACGTAAATTACAAAACTAGAAAATAAAGCACCAATAAAACTATTATGGGGGAAACATTGTATTTATTTGTATATCACAGAAACTCTATGGGCAAATACACCACAAACTAGCTTCTAAAATAAAATGCTTTCACAGCTTACCCACTCTCCAACAACAAAGTATATTTAAAAAATAGCCCACATAATAATGTGAATGTATTTACTGTCACAGAACTGATTAAATGGTATCATGTCTATATATGTATGTGTATATACATATATATATAAACACTACAATTTAATTTTTTTAATCCTTGTACACTATATTATAAAAAGTAGATACAAAAATGTACAATGATAATTTTTGGTATATGTAATTCTCCCTTATGCAAGTATGGAGAAATAGTTAAATTTTCTCACCTAACACTTCCTTATAAAAGTCAGTTTCATTTTAAATTTTGTTCAGCATCCTGCACTAACATGTTAAGTGAAATTATTAATGAAAGAAGAAGAAAGTAGAGGATACTTAGTTCTTAGTTGGTGACAGAATTTTTTTTTATTAGTGTGTAGTTTTGCTAAGAAGTAAACCCCAGAATAAAAAAAGGGAAATAGTGATAGTATTTGTACATGAGTGTTTACATTTGTGTGTGCGAACATGTGTTTGTATACACACATTTATAGAAACACACTTAAGTAAAAAAACAAAACAAAACAAAAAAAAGCCAGTTTCCTCTACAGTTGCAATGTTCCAATTTTGCATATAACTTTCAAAATATGACAGGGAAAAAGAGTCTGATAGCAGACTGAAGGTCAATGCTGTTAGCTATATAACCTAAGAGATTCAATAACTATCTAATTAATTAGGAGCTGTCTCAAGATTCAGGCTGACTTCTAAAAATTACAAATATCCTGAGAATCAGAGAGATAATCAAATAATAGTTGTCTAGGAAAGGGAAGTTCTACCAAGTTCAGAGGAATAGTTTGGCCCCTACAGAGATGTCTAAAGAATTCACATCTGGGGTCGGAGAGATAGTACAGTGGGTAAGGTAGCTTGCTTTGCAGGCGGCCAACCCAGGTCGATCCCCGGTATCCCATATGGTGCTCCAAGTACTATCAGGAATTGATTTCTGAATGCAGTGCGGGGAATAACCCCTGAGCACCAGCAACTGTACCCCCCACCAAAAAAAAAAAAAAATCCAGATCTTTTTAGAATACTTAAAAAGCTGAAGAGCTACGTATTTTCTAGAGCAGTTAATTCTGCCACACTAAGAAATGGACACAATAATCTCTGATTCAACAAATTGGAAACCTGGCTGAATAACAGGAGAAAGGGAGAGTTGCACAGAACACAATCACACACAATTTTTCATAAGGTCCTGGAATTGCATTCACAGAAATGAATGATACATATACATATTTAGAAATAAAAGGATAAATTATTTTATAAATTGTTATTATTTTATAAATAATTTACTAAGCAAGACTAATAGCCGAGATAAGTACCAGGTTTACTCCATGGCTTGGAGGCCAGCCGCACATGCTGGGGAAAAAGTCAGCTCAGATAGAAAAGGGAAAACCAAATAAAGGGTGTTGGGAGGATCCTCCCAGGATGGGAGATGCATGCTGAAAGTAGACTATACACCAAACATGATTGCCACTCAATGCCTCTTTTGCAAACCACAGCTCCCAAAAGGAGAGAGAACAAAAGGGCAGAGAGAACAGAGGCAGGGTGTGATGGGGGGGTGGGGGATGGAAGGGATACTGGGATCAGTGGTGGTGAAGAATGGGCACTGGTGGAGGGATGGTTACTCGATCACTGTATAACTGAAACCCAAGCACAAAAATTTCTAAGTTTACAATGGTACATGGTGTTTCACCAATAAAAATTTAAAAAATAAATGAATAAAAAATAAATAAAATCTTTAAAAAAATAATTTACTAAGCAAATTCTGAGAGGTATACCAATTTCTTATCTTTACTCATGAAATAGTAAAAAACATGACACTGACAAAACAAATTTATAACTGTGGAATTAAAAACGATTGACAGCCATTTCAACTTCTAATGTCTTCTTGAATATAGCCTACTAGACCGGCAAAATTCTGTATGTAACAAGTATTAAATAACACTATATATAATTATAATGCTACACAGATACTTAAAGAATCTATTCTTTAAGTAAGTTATCTTTACATATATAAATAATGGAATACTATGCAGCTCTATGAGAATAAATCACGTGATTTGTAGCAACATGAATGGAACTAGAAAATAAACTGAGTAAAGTCAGTTGGAAGGAAAAAGATAGATACAAAAAGATCTAATTCATATATGAGACTTTAAGATACACAGAAAGGTAACAACAAAGGTATAAAGTTGATGCAACGATTGAGTGTATGTGGGCGAGGGGAATTAGAGGAAGAGGTGTTGGAAGGGGTGTTGGAGTCCCTTGGGAGAGGAAGGCGAGTAAACTGATAATGGGGCAACGCTGGAATTATGTGCATGAGAAACCATTATTAACAGTACTGTAAATCACAGAATAATAATCAATTAAAAATTTTAAATGAAAAATTAAAAACAAAAGAAAAAGATCTTATCACTTTATTTTCTATCCAAAATATTCATTATATATGCAAACTATTTCATAATAAAAAAATACCTACCTTAACACCATGGCCCACATCATCCAGAACTGTATAGTCAATAGGTTTCCGAATATACCTTACAGGGCGTTCCATATTTGCAGGTGCTATTATTTTGTGAGTTCTTGATGTATTCTTGTTTGTTGTCAAAATACCAATCTCTCTTCGAGCCACTTTTTCTTTATGAATGTCCACAGTCTATGTTTTTAATTTGAACAAAAAAAATCATTATTCAGTTAACAAAAAATTATACAAGAATGCTCCTATATATTGAACTATATAGACTGGACAACAGGACATCACATGACTTTACTAACAAATTCTCTTTCCTTTCAAAAATAAATTCATATTAAGGTTCAAAACAGAAAATTTATAAAACATAAAAACACCAAATTTTCTTTCCTAAAAGTTTTGTGTGTGTGGAAAAGGACAGCAAGCCTGTTCTGAATAGTTTCTATTTTATTAAATGAGGATAAAAAAAAAGAGAGAGGGAAATATGACATGTTAATTATATGTACTCTGAGCCATTTATTCCTTAAATGGAGGTGATTCAACTAAAAAAAAAGGTGACTCAAAATTTATCCAGGACTTAGCTGAAATGAGAGCCATTCAAGTTACCCTCACCCATGAGCTAGGATTATGATGAATGGTACTAATCTAATTTTTCTCCTTGCAGGCTAAGACTAAATCTATGCTTAATCTTAAGCATCTTGCAATAAACAGATTAATGTCTTGAGTCAAGGAAAAAGTCAGCACAAAATCTTGAAAAAGAAAGTCAGTTAACTCACTAAGGCAAACACTGAAGGTTCAAGACAACTGTTTAGCTCGCAGAGTAAGGTAGAATCTCAGAAAGCACAATTTAAGAATACATTGCCGGGGCTGGAGCAATAGCACAGCGGGTAGGGTGTTTGCCTTGCACGCAGCCAACATGGCCAACACAGGTTCGATTCCCAGCATCCCATATGGTCCCCCGAGCACCGCCAGGAGCAATTCCTGAGTGCATGAGCCAGGAGTAGCCCCTGAGCATCAACGGCAATCCAGGAAAGGTCCTCACCACAAATGCCTATTCCTCAGCTCCATATTCCTCTGTGGAAGTTAGGCCTTGAGACACTGGCACAGAAACTAACTCTTTACTTTTTTAAGGCAACTAAAGTACTTTATTCTCAACTGGAACTATAAGGATAGGATATCTAAAAGTTTGCAGAAGTTTCTTTTTTTTCTCCTTTTATTGAATCACTGTGAATTACGTTACAGGGATATGTATGACTGAGTTTCAGTCATGTTTTGTTCCAATACACCAACACCAATCCTTTTGCCAGTGCCCACTACCCTCCACCAATGCCCCCAATTTCCCTCCCGCCCCCAGTCCACTTCTGAGGCAGGCACTTTCCCCCTCCCCCACTGTCCTAGTGCTCCCTCTCCAAACTTATGTCCCCCAACCCTGACCCAGTGCCAAGTTTCCTACTTGGAAAATCAGTCCTCCTGCTCTTTGTTTCTTTTGCCATTGGGCATTTGACACTCCCTATGAAGTTTCTTTATATCCCACATCAGAGAGATCATTCTGAGTGTGTTCCTCTCCCTCTGACTGATTTCACTGTACATGACACCCTCCAGATCTAGCCACAATACTGCAAATTGCATGACTTTTTATCTTTTCTTATGGTCAAGTAGTATTCCATCATGTGTATATATACTATAGTTTCTTTATCCAGTCATCTGCTCATGGACATTTGGTCTGTTTCCATCTTTGGCTATCTGTTCATGGACATTTGGTCTGTTTCCATCTTTGGCTACTATATATAGTAATGCAATGAACAGAGGAATGCAGAAGCCTTTTCTGAATTGTGCTTTTGGGCCCTTCAGATACTTTCTCAGGAGTTTTTGAGGAATGTTCATATTTTCTTCCAAAAAGGCTGAACTAGTCGACATTCCCACCAGCAGTGATTGAGGGTTGCTTTTTCCCCAAATCCTTGCCATGGTGGTATTTTTTTTCTTTTTTTATGAGTGCCAGTCTCTGTCGTGTGAGTTGGTATCTCAATGTTTTGATGTATACTTTCTTGATTAGTGATATAAGAGCAATTTTCAAATGCTTTCTGGTCATTTCTATTTCTTTTTTGAAGAAGTGAAGTTCCTGTTCATCTTTTCTCACATTTTCTGATAGGGTTGGATGGTTTTGGCTTTTTGGATTTTTGTTTTGTAGTATTCTACCAGTGCTTTATATAATTTGGATATTAACCCTTTAATGAGTGGTACGTAAATAATTTCTCCTTGTCTGTGAACTGTCTTTTTATTTTGGCCATCATTTCCTTTGAGGTACAGAAACTCCTTAGCTCAGTGTAGTCACATTTGTTTATCTTTGCTTCTACTCGCTTGGTTAGCAGCATTTCATCCTTAAAGATGCTTCTAGCTTCAATATCAAGAAGCATTACGCCTATCTTTCCTTCTATGCAACTTATGGATTTAGATCTGGTATCTGGGTCTTTAATAGTAATGAGGATAGGGTGTTTGCCTCGCACATAACCAAGCCCAAGTTTTATCCCCAACAACCCAAATGATTCCCCTGTGCACTACCGGGAGTGATCCCTGCGCAAGGAACTACGATCAAACCCTGAGCATTGCCAAGTGTGATTGTTGGCCCCCAAAAACAAGACAAAAAACAAAAAAAGAGGTGTGAATTCACTTTTTTTTGCATGTGTCTGAACAGTTGCTCAATCACCACTTTTTAAAGAGGCTTTCCTGAGTAAAGGGGAGAAGGCATAGATAAAGAACCAAAAATAATAACCTCTCAGTGTCTGCATTGCAAACCATAATGCCCAAAAGTAGAGAGAGACTATGGGGAATATTATCTGCCATGGAGGCAGGAAGAGGGTGGGAAAGGGAGGGTATGCCAGGGATACTGGTGGTAGGGAATGTGCACCGGTGGAGGGAAGGGTGTTTGATCATTGTGTGAATGTAACCCAAACATGAAAGCTTGTAACTATCTCACGGTGATTCAATAAAATAGAAAAATAAATAAATAAATAAATAAATAAAGAGGCTTTCCTTGTTCCAATTCTTTTTTCCTCCTTTATCAAAGAGTAACTGACCAAAGTAACCTGAGGCTCTGTCTTTGGTTTTTCTATTCTTTTCCACTCAGTGTCTGTCCAAATTCCAGTACCACGCTTTTATAATTAATACTGCTTGTGGAGTTCATGCCCAATTCAATCAGCTAATCAGTGGTTCAATAAATAGCAGTACTCCTACATATATAAAAAAATAATAATAATTAATACTGCTTTATAGTACAGCTCAAAGTTGGGAAAAGTGATGCCTCCCATTTTCTTTTTCTCCAAGAACTGAAAAGCTAACACTTTAGCTCTTGCTATCATCATGAAGAACAAGGTCCTGTATCCCTAATTCAGAAGATTGCATCTTCTACCATAATCTAAAAAACTATGGCGGATTAATTCTATTAGCTATTCTGGCTTGCATAGAAGGCAAAAATCTCAGACAATCATTTCTCACCAGAATGGCATATAGCAAAAAGACGAAAACCAACAGGGTTGACAGGGATGTGGTTAAAAAGGAATGTTGGAGGAATGGTGGTAGGAATGTTGTCTGTTTGGCCCTCTGGAAAACAGCAGGAGGAGTTCTTCAAAATAGTTAAGAATAGATCTCCCATTTGACTTTTTTTGCCATTTACCTCCTAGAAACACAAAAACACCAATTCAAAAAAGTATATGCATACTTATGTTCACAGCAATGCTTACTACAACAACAGTGAGGATATGGAAATAATCCAAATACCTAACAACATGTGAGTGGATAAAGAAGTTGTGGTATGTATAAAAAAAAAAAGAATACTATGCAGTTACAGGGAAGGATAATCAACATGCAGTTTAGACGAACTTAGATGAAACAACTTAGCTGAAACAAAAGCAACCCTGTTAAGCAAAGTACGTCATGGGAAAAAGAACAAACACCAGATGTTCTCACTATCTGTGAGAGTACCAAGAACAGGGCAATGGAAAATATCAACGTGGGCAATTCTTTATTCTGGATTACAGAACTGAGAATGTCAAGAAAGGGGGGGAATAGAGAGGTGAGGAGGAAGCAGACTGGAGGTAAGACTGGAACATTGATCAGAGGCCTTAAACACTTTGGAGGTGTAAAGGTGAGGTAATTATACATCAAATTAAAATTTCAAAATGAATTCTAAACTTTTAAAGTGAAATAGGGGTGGGAGGGAAATCTAAGGCATTGGTGAAGGGGCACTGACATTGGTGGTGGGTTCAGAGAGGAAATGCCTGAACTATTATAAATTATTGACAGCATTATAAAACACAGTGCCTAAATATAAACTTTAAAACCTCAGAATTTTTTGGAGGGGTGTTGGGGACTCCTCAGAAACCATCAGTCAACTGGACTGGCAGTTTGAGGTGAGTGAAGGTCAAGGACACAGTACTGCTTGGGGCCTGTGTCAAGGCTTACATAGGTCAGCCTGGCAGTACTTGGGGACCTTCTAGGGCTGGTGCTGGTGATAATTTGGGAAACATGTGGATCAGGGATCAAATCTGTATCAGCCATAGGCCAGGAATGAGCGCCTAACTCCCATACTCTTTCTCTGCCCCCTCAGACCATTTACTAAAACAAACCTGTTCTGGAAACAAATCTGTATGTAGAGTGAATAATTCACATCTCCGACCACCTAATTCATCCACTAAATACAACAACAGTCAGGATATGGAAATAATACCACTAAAGTTGTAAACATAACAATTTATTTTAAAATAAGGGTAGGGCGTTTGCCTTGCATGCAAGGCAAGTGAGTTATGATTCAGCTCGAGCAAATCGCTCGAGCAAATTGATGAACAGGACGACAGTGCTATAATATATCTGTCTGTAGCACTGTCCTGTCCTCCCATTGTTCATTGATTTGCTCGAGGGGGCACCAGTAACACCTCCATTGTGTGACTTGTTACTGTTTTTGGAATATCAAATACGCCACGAGTAGCTTGCCAGGCTCATTTAAAAATACATATTAATATATATGTATATATATATATGTGTGTGTATTAAACCCCTTTCTTTTCTAACAGCTCTAATACAAGTTTACTCAAATCTAATTTGAGGGCCAGTAAAATAGTCCAGAGGGTAGGGCACTTGCCTTGCATGTTGCCCACCCAGCTTTATTCTCTGACACAATACATGGTCCTCCG